AACAACAGCAACACAAACGAGTACGTCATAGAGCACAGAGAGAGAACGACAGAGAGAGAGGGAGGAAGAGAGAGCAACAGCAGAGACTAAGCAAAAAAAAGTGCTTATCAAGCGCTCTAGAAAGCTCCAAGTGCCCAATTGCATTCGTATTGGTGTCGTCATATTATCGTGTGTCGCTGAATAAAAAAAATACAAGTAGCACTGCCCAAAGCACAGGCCAGACCCAAGCCCAGCAGTGAACTCACTCACACATACACATGGACAGTCAAATATACACGCGAGCAACAAGCTAAACTCGTTTGCAGTCGAGCTACAACAACAACACGAGCAAAATTATTAAAATTTTTCAGCTTGATTCATGCTCGCTCACACACGGCCTGACTGACATACAGAGCTACTACACATGCACACATACACACACAGGCATACAACCAAGCGCACATATGCCCACACATACACTCACTCTCTCATAAATATAAACAAAATTCAGGCAATAACAACAATAACAACGTCGTCGACGACGACGGCGGGTTTCCTCGTTTCTTGTGAATTGACTCAATATAATACACAAAAGCAAAGCGCAGGCAGCGTCAGCGTCAGCGACGCCAACGACTGCGACGGCGACAGCGACGACGGCGGTGGCGGCGGCGACAGTGTTGTCAAGTTGTTTGGATTAGTCATGTAGCTCGTGTGTACATGCATATTGTATATACATATACATACACATAGATGAGTGGGGGTTAGTATTGAAAACAGGCTAAATACTCACACACATACATATCAATATATATATATATATATATTCATGCTCGTCGCCACATGGCTGCTCGTGCTTCACTCGTGTGTAATGGCTGGCTAGCTGGCTGGCTGTTTGACTGGGAGTGCAAAGAGAAGAGCCTCGGTCTTCGTGTGTGTAGACAGCTGCGGCAACTCTAGCTGTTTGGCGCTCTCGCTCTCAGTCGATCGCACGTACATACATATGTATGTATGTATGCATGCGTGCGTGTGTGTGTAGCAATTATTATTTTATTATCACTTTTTTCACTGCTACGTTTTGTGCTGTGCTTCTACGTTTTAAATGGTTTTGTTGTTATCGTTGCCGTTGCTGCTGCTGCTGCTGCTGCTGCTGGTGCTCCCCAGACCTTCCTTAGTCAGCAAAAATTCGCATATATACACATTTATTGCTGGGGGCCTGTGCATGTATGGGTGCACGTGTTTATGCATGTTTGCATGTATGGGTTTGTGTGTACGTAATCAACAATAGCGCGGGTACAGGCTGGCGACAGCCGTCGTATTGTGTTCCCCCACTTCGCGTCACCTGTTGTTGCTGCTGTTGTTGTTGTTGGGGAGCTACGTTTTTGCTTGATTTGATCATTTCTCAGCAGCAGCAGCAGCCGCGGCAGAGGCAGCAGTAGGCGACCCTGTGCTTACTTTTGATTGACAATTGCAACAGTGTGCGGGACGGCGAATTGGCGAATATTGCGGTATGCGGCGACGTTGACGTTTCGCTATCGTTGCTTCTCGTTCTCCCTCGCCCCTTCTGCTTTTGCCAGTGTGCCTTTTCCTGGCGTGCTCAATTTTTTGATTATTGTACGGTTTTTACTCATTTCTACACTCTGCCGCTGCCTGTCTTTGGGCTTTCAAGTGAGTGTGTGCGAATGTGTCTATGGGTGTGTGTGCGTGTGTATGTTTGTGCTTTTGTTTTCGCGCTACTCTTTTGCCAGTTAGTCGCGTCGCTTTGCGTTGCGTCGCGACGCTTCTTCGTTTTCTTTTGCACACTCTCGCGCACACACAGTGATTTGTCTGGTTTTTGTTGTTGCCGTTTCTGTTGCTGTTTTTGTAGCTGTAGCTGCTGCTGTTGCTGTTGCTGCTTGGGCTCTGGTCTTTGAATGAATTTTTCAGCTTGCCTCGTCTAGTTGTCTTTAACTGTTTCATGCTCGCTGGTCGCCGTTTCGTTGTCGCGAGCGCCTTGACTCGATGCACGCAATTCGCTTGTTGTTATAATTTCGGTTTCGATTCACAAGTCTTTGGCACCCAACTGAAATATTGATGAAACCTATCGATAGCCTTGCCTATCGATATTGCTAATCAGAGCGCGTAAAAGAAAGAGAGCGCGCGACTGAGTCACAGGTACGAGCTATTGCGTATTGCACTATTCATATTTAATGCAAATTAAATGAGCAAGTGTGCGTGTGCATATGTGTGTATGTGTTTATGTGCTTGTGTTTGTGTGCTCATCGTTTCATTTGTGCTGTTGTTAGTTGTCATTTCCTTTTCTTTGCCGTTTTTTATCAGAAGCTTCGTCTTCATTGGAATTCCGTATCATTTCCGTGAATTTTACGTGTTTTATACTTTTGCTGTGAGTACACACATTTGGGCTGCTAATAAATTATTAACAATTGTTAAGTGACCAAGCTTGGCTCTCTCTTTCTCTTTTACACTTTTGTTTTTTTGAAGCTGCAAATGACGTACAACTAAATTTTATTGACAGTCAGACAGACAGACTGAGGCGCCGCGTTTGCGCGTTCCTTTTCGCTTATTGCATTCGTATACGTGTATGAATGTGGGTGTGGGTGTGTGTGATTGGGGCACGCGTGAGGGAGTGAGTGAGAGGTCGTCAATCAGCGAGTGTTTACATTAAACGGCTCTCATGTGACGTCGCTCGGCAGCTATCACTGAGAGTGTGACCAGGCACTTGATAATCCGCTATTTACTTGTGAATTGCACTTTGCACGCTGAGCAAATGTAAATGCAAATGCATATATGCTATATTAATGTGTATATAAATACATATGTATGTATGTATGTATGTATGTACATGTATGTATGCGTGTTTATTTGAGCAACCTTAGCTTTAGAGCTAAACGCCTAATAATAAAAGCCAACAACGGAATCGTTAAACAAAGTCAAAGTCGTGATAATAAAGTCATTTAAATATTTGTTTCTTTTCTGCTCTCTCTCTCTCTCTCCCTCTTCCTCTTGCTCTCTTCTGTTAAAGTAAATATAGAAAAACTGGTGTGCGGAGCTGTCTTATTAGCTGTTGTTGTTGATTACACTTATCGCTATGTTTAAACAAAAGGAAAGCCCTACTATTAAGCGAGGGCTGTATGAAAGGCAATTTAGCTAAGCTATTGATCAATAATTATGAGCATTACATAACTGTAATGCGATCATGAGTGTGTGTGCCTGTATGTGAATTATAATTCCTGTTTCATATGTACGTGCGTGTTTATCATTCCCTTAATGGGAAATCCTTTCGGCGCCTCTAGCCTGATCATATGAATGTGTGTATGTGTGCAGCGCATGCAAAAATTACCCTTGCGGGCAATTCCAATTGGAAGACTGTATTACATTTAGTCCCTGCAGAAATTCTGTTGATGGGAAATTCCTAAGTGGCACTCCTCCGCCCAAGCGACACACACACATTCACAATGTGAGGTTAGGTAATTACTACTATTTAATACGATAACTAATCGGCGTCATAGCGTGAGCTATGCGAGTATTTTCTTAACGTTTGCCCACTAATCTCTTCCGTAATGCCGTTTAATTGCCAACGACAGCCGCGGCTGACGTCAAAGGTGTCGTCGATGGGTCTACGAATATACATACATACATTTGTATACATATATGTATATATTTCTATACAAGAGGCAGGTGGAATGGGGAGGTTATGCCGTTTATCGGACAATTTGTCTGATTTGTGAGTCAGGTGAATCGACCAACTAATACATATATTGAAAATGAGTTTCACAAATGTTTAGCTGATAAACAACAATCCAAACGTTATCAATGGAATTTTTGGACACTTTTTTTTGCTATATTATTTATTTTTATATTTATGGCTTGTTGATAAAGGCATGGAAAAAGACATATTAAAAGGGAATTTTTATATGTGTGTGCGTGTGTGTGTGTGTGAGTGCCACGCGTTCTCTCTGCCGCTCTCTTTGCCTAAGTCTCTCTTGTTACACTAGCACACATAAAGCTTACATGCACTTGAGAGTGCCCGTGTGTGTGTATGCGTGCGTGTGCGTGTGCTTAGGGTATTTATAGAGCTGATAAGACAGCCGACAACAACAATCAGCGCACTTCACTGCGTGCTCTATCTATCTATCTCCCTCCCTCTCACTCACACCCATGTAGCATTTGTTGTTTTGATTTTGATTTCGTTTTCTGCTGCGGCAACAGGTGAACTTTAAGCGGTTGAAATGCGAAATAGAAAGTTAATAAAAAAATAATTTTTATATTTAACACTTGTTTATATTCAAGCTTTTTTTTTATACATTTTTATAATTTCGCGTTTTTGACAACTTCAAACTTTGGCCCATCCGCTTTATCAGCTCTAGCTCTGCCTCTGATAAGATTGAGCGCTCATTTAGCTTTTTTTGTATTAGGCTGGCACCCACCCCCAGCCCCAGCCCGCCTAGGGGCGCTTCTGCCTGCGACACCCACCCGAGGGGAATTTCAAAATATGGTGCAAAGATTTCAAATTCACACATTTTTAAATTTTTTATGTGGGGCCTAGGGAAGTAACCCTCGACGAGCCCTATTAAATATTTAGATGAGGGCAGCAGAAGCTAGAAGGAGCTTTACCTGGTGCAGGGAGAACTTGAAGCATTTAAAATCAATATCGATTCGAAGTTGCCTTCAATCAACAATCAATATATTTTCAATCAATCATTCTATTCATTAATCAATCAGTTTATCAATTGGCCCAACACTTGAGAATTCTCATCTAACTATGTCGATTAGCCAAGTTTCAGAACTCGAACTCTTGGGGTTTGAACAGTGCGTTGCTCTTCAATCAAACCGTCGACCATTCAATCAATCAATCAAATGTCTTCAACGGCTTTGTAACATGCTAGCATGGTTTACAAAAATCATGTTTCAACTATTTAGCTTTCATAGTTCCGATTTAGATTTACTTTTTCATCAATCAATTAATCAATCAATCAATTGATTCTTAAAACTAATTCATATTTCAATAATTTCGTTGTTTACAGATGAGCCAACAGCAGCAAACACATCGCAGGCGAGCAAATTCGATGAGACTATGGAAAGTGCAGCAACAACAACGGCAACAGCAACAAACACAGCGAAGCAACATTACAAAACAGCAAACAAACAATACAAAACTAACAACAACAATAACAACAGCATTAATAACAGCAACAACAACAAAGTGAGCAACACGCGACGTGCAACAGCAGCAGCAGCAGCAGCAGCGGCCGCCGCAGCACAGGCAACAACGACAACAACAACAACAGCAGCAACGGCAACAACTAAGAAGCAAACATATCGCAGTAGCAATACAACTGCTGCAACAACAGCAACGACAACAACACTGAAAACAAACAACAACAACAGCAACAAAGTCAAGGCAGCAACAGCAACAAGTGAAGCAAACGAAGCAACTGAAGCAACCGAAGCAACAGCAATTGACAACAACAAAAGCAAACGAGATAATTTAAGCGAATTGCCAGCTAAAATTGCTGACAGCAACAGCAGCAGCAACAGCAACACAAGTAACAACAACAACAACAACAACAGTGATAATAGTATTAGTGAAAATAATTATGAGTTTAAGGCTAGAGATAAAGCGAACGTAAGTGATAGCAAAATGACGCTACAGCACAGCAGCAACACCAGCAGCAGCAACACCACCACCACCATCACCACAAACAACAACAGCAACAACAACAACATTAGTATCAGCAGTGGCAGCAACACAAACAACAATGATGCTGCAACAGCAGCAGCAACAGCAATTGCTGACTGGAAGAGCAGCTCGAACAATTTGCGCTATTTGCACAAGAAGTTCAAACGTTTGGCCAGCACCACAGAAACGGAAGCACCAGACGAACCAACACTGCGCACCACGTCGCTGTCGTCGACCAGCTCAGTGTCGCCGCCAACGCAATTGCCGCTGGTCAATGGGCACGAGCACAGCAACAGCAACAGCATCAGCAACTGCAACAGCAACAACCATGAGGCAGAGAGCTATAGCAAAAATGCGACTGTTGCTGTTGCTGGCGTGCCACGCACGCGTACGCCTTTGAGCAACAGCAGCAACATCAACATTAGCAGCAGCAGCAGCAGCAACTATGCCAGCAATGCAACATTGTCGCCAGCAACATTTGCACAGCATCAGCAGCAGACGCAGCCAACGACAACAGCAGCAGCAGCAGCAGCAGCAACCGTCACACCAGCAGCAACAGCCAAGCCAGCAGCAACATTTGCAGCTGCAGCATCCGCTGCCATGCCAGCAACAACTGCAACCTCTGCCATGCCAGCAGCAACATCTGCCGCCTCTGCCACAGCAGCAACAGTCACGCCAGCAACTGGCCTCAGCCGCTACGTCTGCCCGTATTGCAATCTGATTTGTGCCAAGCCCTCGGTCCTGCAGAAGCACATCCGCGCCCACACGAACGAGCGGCCGTACCCCTGCGAGACATGCGGCATTGCCTTCAAGACGAAAAGCAACTTCTACAAGCATTGCCGCTCCCGCTCGCACACGGCGCGCATGCGCGGCCTGGACGTGCCGGCCCACGAGGCGGATGGACTGTCCGACCAGGATGGCGACGGAGATCTCAGCAACAGCAGCTCGGAGCTGTTGAGTGTGGAAATTGTAAGCATCCGTTGATAAGTTGACAGTATGTTAAGATAAGCAGAAGTGTTAGAAATGTTAACAGCATGTTAAGAGAAGTGTCGGCACTGGGCAAATGTTAGTAGTTAGAGTAGTTAGCTAACTGTCTGGAAACTAGATGAAATACAGATCTGTATAGTAAATCACAAGATTTCTGTAGAATATATCCTAAAACTCCACCAATTCGTCGCACATTCACCGAGCAACCTCTTCTCTTTGCAGCTAAGTAGCGCCGATTCGCCATATGATGAGCAGTCGATGGCCTCGCCGACGCCCTCGCCCTCTACGCTGTCGGCGGCGAAGAGCGCGTACCTGCAACAGCCACCACTGCCGCAGCACATGCAACAGTTGCCGCTGGGCTCGCCTGCAGCTGGCACATTGCCGCCGGCAACAGTCGAGAATTTGCACTCGGCGACCGCGCAGCATCGACAGTCGATTGACTACAAGCCATACAAGCCAAAATTTCACAATGCAGCGCTCTATGCGCCAGGCAGCAGCAAGGAGCAACAGCAGCAACAGCAGCAGCAGCAACAGCAGCAGCAACAGCAGCAGCAGCAACAGCCGTTGCTGCTACAGCAACAGCAACAGAAGTTGCCGCAACCTCTGCTCGTGCATCCCACGCTCTCGCCCAGCACGCAGCTGAAGCTGAATCTTCACATCAACTCGCATCAGCAGCAGCTGCAGCTGCAACAACATCAGCAACTCCAGCAGCAGCAACAGTTGCTGCTGGCAGCAGCTGCTGCTGCGGGCAATGCTGTCGCCCTGCCGCCACCTCCACTGCCCACTTACTACTTGGGGCAGGCGCCATATTACAACCCCACGGCGGCAATGCATCAGCATGCGTTGGCGCTGCAGTATCAGCAACATTATCAGTTGCAGCAGCATCAGCAACAACATCTGCAGCAGCAGCAACAGCAACACTCGCCACTGCTCAAGGCGCCAGCACAGCCGCAACAGCAACAGTTGCTGCCACAGCAACAACAGCAGCAGCAGCCGCAGCAACAGTTGCTGCCTCATCCACAGCAGCAGCAGCAGGTAAACACTTTGCATGCTCCTTCTCTCTCTTGAGTTGTGACTAATTATCTACTCTCTCTCTCTCTCCCTTCTAGCAGCTGCCTCGCTCTAATAGTCAACAGGCAACAGCAGCAGCAGCAGCAGCACCTGCCACGCCTACACCTGTAGGCAATCTGAGCAGCTTTGCCAGTGGCATGCAAGTGGTGCGTATGATAGAGTCTAAAACCAAATTCTGCATCTTACTAAATCACCCTCTCTCCCCATCTCTCTCTCTCTCTCTTTCTCTCTCTTAGAATGTGGAAAAGGTGCAGGAACACATTTCGAAATTGATCTCACAGAACGAAGCCATTGTGGAGAATAAGGAAATATTGCTGCAGAAGAAATATCCCAAGCAATTGAATCGTTCGCGCAGCTTCAACAACGCCAACAACAACAATAGTAGCAGCAACAACAGCAACAGCAGCAACAACAACAACAGCAGCCAACAGTTGGGCGATGCAAAAGTAAATCTAGCACAGAGCATAGTACAAAAGCAGCAGCAACTGCAACAGCAACAGCAGCAACAGCAGGTGCAATTGCAGCAGCAACAACTACAACAACAACAACAACTACAACAACAACAACAACAACAACAACAACAACAACACATTCAACAATATCGAGTCATTGAGCCAGTGAATGGATTGCTTAAACGCAGCAGCAGCAGCACTGGCAACAGCAACAATGCTTATGCTAACCTAAAAGCCACGCCTCCTCCTGCTGCCTTGAATGTCAAATTGCCGCCGCCGCCGCCAGCAACAATGTTGCAATTGCTGCATTATCGCCAGGATCCAGCAATGCCTTTAAACAAACTCGAGCAGCAGCAACAGCAGCAGCAGCAACAGGCGACGCCCGCGCAGCAGCCCTTAAATCTGTCCGCCAAACCAAAGCCAGCAAAGGCAGTGACAACAGCAGCAGCACCTGCACCAGCAGCAGCAGCAGCAACAACAGCAGCCGCACCAGCAACTGCAGCAACAGCAGCTACAACAACAACGCCAACAATTGCTGCCAAGCCAGCAGCTGTTGCCACAGCCGCTGCAAACAATTCGATTATCAAGAATCTGTTGCTCAACGCGCGTGGGTTGGCCGTGCCCATTGGCGAGGGCGACGACGCCGTCTACTCCTGCCCGATCTGCGCCAACGAGTTCCGCAGCGCCGACGAGCTGAAGCAGCACAACAGCACCTACTGCCAGGACGCCAGCAGCAGTGCGCCCATCAGCCCCGCCTCCTCGCCCAGCAGCAAGTACTTTCGCTCCAACTCCATCTCCTTCAGCCTGCCGGAGCTCAAGTCGCACATGGCCAACTCGAAGAACCCGCTGTCCTTGGCCAAGCTGGCCTGGTCCCAGCTCAAGACGAAGCCGAGCAGCCTGGTGCTGAGTCGGCTGAGTGCGGCGCAGTCGCCGGCGCGGACCAGCACGACGGCGACAACGGTTGCTGGCAGCAGCGGTGGCAGCAGCAGCAGCAACTATCTGGCAGCCACTGTTGCAGGCAGCAGTGCTAGCAGCAGCACTCCAACAGCAACAATTGCTAGCAGCAACAGCAACAACAGCCTGTACAGCAACAGCCACAATCTGCCAGCAACTGTTGCCGTTAGCATCGACGCCAACAATGTTGCCCTGCGCTTCGTGGACGCCCCCTTGCCCTCGCCTGGCCCGCTCCTGGGCAAGACCCCGCTCGTCGACTACGCCGCGCCCCGCAAGGCCGCCGACGCCCAAGTCGTGATCACCAAAATGCACGAGGATCGCCTCGAGAACATCATCAGCGAGAGCTCGGCGAAGCGGCCGAAGCTGAGCAACGACAGCGCCTTTGCGCTGCCCCCGGCAACAGCAACAGCAGCAGCAGCAGCAGCAGCAGCAACAGCAACGGGCGTGCCTCAGCAACAGTTGATGTTCGGCAACAGTCAGGAGTTGCCTGGATTCAACACGGGCAAGGAGGAGCGTTTGAGACGTTTCACCTCGTCGGGCGGCTCGATGATCCCCATCTCCGAGTGCCCCGAGCTGGACAAGAGCCCCAAGATGATCCGGACTCCGTTGCTGTCGGGCGGCAGCTTTCAGGAAATGTCGCCCCGGTTGAGTGAGCCCAAGCCGAAGCCCGCATTTCTGCTCAATGCCAGCAACAACAACAACAACAACAACAACAACATCATCATCAGCAACAGCAACAATAGCTCGCAGCATTTCCAGTTCCCGCCCATCAACTCGATAACCGCCTTCAATCCGCTCACGCTGCCCGCCATGAGCGAGTCGAGCGGCAAAGCGATTCCCTACGTGCCGGGCATTCCGGGCCCGAGCAGCCTCACATTGCTGCCAGTACCGCCGCCGCCGCAACAGCTGCTGCTGCAGCGTCCGCCCGCTGTCGATGCACCGCCCTTCAAGAAGTCGCTGTCGCCCTTCGGGGGCGTGCAAAATCTGCCCAGCGAGTTCAGCCGACAGCCGCCGACGCCCGCCCAGCGCAATGCGCTGCAGTGGCAGAGCAACAGCAGCAACAGCGGCAGCAAGCTGGCAGCAACTGTTGCTGCTGGCGATGGCCTGGGCATGCAAAAGTTCAATTTCCTGCGCATGGCTGACAATGTGAAGGAGCAGCAGCCGCAGCAGGAGGTGCGGCACTTTATATTCGATCCGCTGCATGTGGAAACGCCAGAAAACGAAGCGACAACAGCAACAGCAGCAGCGACAGCAGCAACATCAAGTGCTGCGGCAACAACATCAGCTGGAGCAGCAACAACTGTTGCCAGTAAGACGAAATTCCTGCGTCCCACGAGTCTCCCGCTCAAGCCGGGCACGTTCACGCCCAAGCGCCATCACGGCATCACCCCGACTGCGAATACCCTGCCGCTGATCTCGCCCGAGACGCCGCGCCCGTCCAAGTCGTGCGTGCAGCTCTACCTGAACGGCCACGCCTACACCTACCTGGGCCTCAAGTGCAGCACCAAGATGTTCTACTGCACAGTGAACTGCCCGCAGCCCTCGTACGTGGCCGGCATGCACAAGCTGTCGATGTACAGCGTCTGGCAGGTGTGCGAGGAGAACCAGCCGCACCCACTCGGCCTTAAGCCGAAGCAGGTGATGTCGCTCTACGACTCCAGGCAGAAGATGTTCGGCGCGGGCTTCACTGTGGTCCAGGCGGGCGCCAATGCGCACAGCTACGCGCTCGTCGGCTCCCAGCAGACGATCAGCAGCTGCTCCACCGTGAACAACGCCCAGAGCAAGTTCTACCAGCACCAGGCGAAGCAGGCGCCAGCCATCGGGGCGCTCAGCGAGGCGAATGTGGCGGCCAAGGCGAGCGAGGAGGCAGCCAAGAAGCTCGAGTCCGGCCAGCTGCTGGTGGGCGGCTATGAGTCGAACGAGGACTACACCTACATACGCGGACGTGGGCGTGGCCGCTACGTCTGCTCCGAGTGCGGCATTCGCTGCAAGAAGCCCTCCATGCTGAAGAAGCACATTCGCACGCACACGGACGTGCGTCCGTTCACCTGCAGCCACTGCAGCTTCAGGTGAGTCTCTCTCTCTCTCTCTGCCTCTCAAGGAATAGTTTAACACACACTCTCTCTCTCTCTCACTCTTACAGCTTCAAGACCAAGGGCAACCTGACCAAGCACATGCAATCGAAGACGCACTTCAAGAAATGCATTGAGCTGGGCATCAATCCAGGCCCAATGCCAGCGGATGGCGAATTCCTGGACGTGGACGTGGAGTTCGATCAGCAATCCTCGACCTCGGCTGGCGGGCGCACTTCCTCCATGGCCGGCGACTCTGCAGATTCGGATGATTATAGCGACAACGAATCGGAGAGCAGCGGTAGGTGGCACTCACACATCAGGGCTGATGGCTGAAGATCTGTGCAAATCTAGGGATTATGTATTATATATAGACTATATAGAGACTGGTGCCTCTAGACACTTCTAAATGAACTGCTCAAGAGAATGCTTGGAGTGTCTTCCAAACTCAAGATGTTGTCTAGCTATAATCCGTTATCTGTATATATATTCTATTCCGGGTATTCCCTAGTCGAGCATTTGCATCTATAGCACGCCGTATGCGATCATCTATCTATATTTCTATAATTCTGACTTCTATCTCCTATGAGGCTATAAACTATTGTCTACTTATCTATTAATCTATACATTTATCTATATATCCTAATACTAAAACTCACTCTTGCCACCTCTACAGACACAGATGAATCCAAGTCCCGCCTGAAGGAGCATGAGGCTGCGCGCGGCCTGCTCTCGCTGTCGATGACGCCGCCCATACCGCAGAGTGTCTCGCCCTATCCCGCGCAGCTGGAGACTAGCATGTCCGCAGCGAGTCCAGCGAACAGCATTGGCTCGGCAGGGGGTGCTTCCACGCAGCCCAAGCGGCAGGTGTGCTCCTTCACGTCGCCCAAGCCGCCGTTTGACTACCAGAAGCAGGAGCAGTACTACTCCAATCCCGAGGAGTCGAAGCCCAAGCGCCAAGTGCCGACGGATGAGAGCAGTGCGCCAATGGACTTGACTAAGCCGAGGCCAATCATCTCGGCAGCAGCAGGAGCAGCAGCAACGACAGCAACATCATCAGCGGCAGCTGCAGCGGCAACAGTTGCTGCCATGGAACTGCCCAAGTCGCAGGCACAGCAGATGCGCGACGTCATCTTCGGCGCGGGCAACAACGAGTGTGGCTTCATGAAGACCTTGATCTCGGTGTCGGACAAGGTGCGCATCTCGGCCGAGATGGAGGAGCAGGCGAAGCGCGAGAGCGAGGGTGAGGATGTGCTGCTGCACACGTACATCAAGGAGCAGGCGCTGCACAACGCCAAGCGCAAGCAGAGCTTGTACAACAGCAGCAGCTACCTGATGACAACCACCACCAGCAGCAGCATCAGCAGCAGCAGCACCACCACTACCAGCAGCAGCAGCATGCCCGTTATGAGCAGCAGTCAGCAGAAGGTTGGCTTGATATATCACGAGCTGCCCAGCATCGAGGTGCACGAGCCGGAGTCAACGGAGCTGGGAGAGCTAGAGAAGGAGCAGGAGAAAATGGAGCAGCAGCAGCAGCAACAGTTGAAAGCAATTGCTGCGAGCAGCCAGGAGAAGCAATCCGAAGAGCGACAGCAGCAGGCAACAGCAACTGCCACAGCTCCTGCTCCCGCTCCTGCTCCTGCTGCAGCCACGCACAATGCCAATTTGCCAGCTGCAGTGCAGCAGCCAGACGCCATCGACTTCAAGGGCGTGCTGAGCAACAGCAACAGCACGAAGCCCATTGTGACAACAGCAACAGCAACTGTTGCCGCCGCCTCAGCAACAGCAACAGCTATAGTCAAGGTGCTGGCCACAGAGGAGGGCTACAACAAGCCGAGCAGCGAGTCGGCAACTGCAACAGCTGCTGCCACAGCAACAACTGCAGCCACCCCGACAACAACAACAGCAAGCGGCAGCAGCAGCTACGCCGGGCGAGTGGTGCCAGCGCCGCCGCCGCCCATTGCCAGCGATGCGCGCCCCACGTGCCTGCTCTGCAGCAAGACGTTCCAGCGGCAGCATCAGCTGACGCTGCACATGAACATCCACTACATGGAGCGCAAGTTCAAGTGCGAGCCGTGCAGCATCTCGTTCCGCACGCAGGGTCACCTGCAGAAGCACGAGCGCTCCGAGGCGCACCGCAACAAGGTGATGATGACGTCCACCTTCGGCGTGCCGACCACGTCGAATCCGCGCCCGTTCGAGTGCACCGACTGCAAGATTGCCTTTCGCATACACGGCCACCTGGCCAAGCACCTGCGCTCGAAGACGCACGTCCAGAAGCTGGAGTGCCTGCAGAAGCTGCCCTTCGGCACGTATGCGGAGATCGAGCGGGCGGGCATCAGCCTGACGGAGATCGATACGAGCGACTGCGAGAACTCGCTGATCTCGCTCAAGCTGCTGGCCCAGAAGCTGCTCGAGAAGGACCCCAACAAGCTCAGTGGCTACACGACGCCGTCGGGCATGCTGCAGCTGGTGGGCGGCGGCGGCAGCGGCAGCGAGATGCCAGCTGCCAACCAGGACAGCGCCTCGGAGGACGGCTTCAGCGCGGCGAACAGCGCCGCGGCCTCGGCCATCGCCTCGCTGGACAACGACAGCGCCGGCAACACGCCGCAGCGCGCCAGCTCCATGTCCGAGGACGAGACGAATGGCCTGACCAACGGGCTGAGCCTGAAGCGCCGCCTGCCCGCCAGCAGCTTCAGCAGCAGCAACGGCGACGAGAGCGACAATCCGCTGGAGACGAGCGAGAAGCGCGCGAGAAGCAACACGAATGAGTTGACTCTGCCCATTGTCGGCAGCAACTGACAATATATGTACATGCTGCAGCATACCTGAGTGTGGCCCTACGCCTGGCCGGCGCCACCGGGCCCACCGGGCCCCAAGCCACATCTGATGCCAAACGCCACTCTCAGTCTAACTCCCGCTCCCGCTCCCATTCCCAATTCCAATTCCAACCCCAATCAGATACCAATTCAAGTCCAATCAGTGAGCCACAGTGGCTGCGGCAATGACCAAAACATCAACGAGCGCATATCAAATGTCTAAGCATATCGCATTTGGGCACACAACAAAAACTCTAAACAAACACACACACACACACATGGAGGACACTCACATGAAAAACTTTCAAGCTGAAAAGCTGCTTAAAGTGTTGTCTTGATAAAAAAAAAAAAAAAAAAAACTTATATAAAAAAAAAACAACTTGAAAATGTGTTGAAAACTGTTTAAGTAAAAACCTCAATGAAGCATCTGGAAAGCTTCTAGGTGCTGTCAATGCTTAATTGATACAGCCTTAGCTGGCAACATTAGCTAAACAGTTTTAAAACTTTCAAAAATATTTGAAAGCTTTTAATTTTTTAAATTGATGAACATTTTATTGTATTCGGTTTTAATCTAATTCTTGTTTACATTTTAGTTTTAGTTTAACTAGAAAAAGCTTTCAACAGCTTGATGCTTGCAGTTCAAGCTTTCATATGCTTAAGCTTTAGAGTGTAACAATTTTCCGTTTTACTTTTTTACCACCGAAATCTCAATACAGTTTGAAATTGTGAAAGCTTTCGGCTTTAATAGAAGTTAAGTTAAAGCAGCTTGAAGCTTTTTAAAATATCTAACCATTTCTAGATGACATTTTGAGTCCCTATTCAAAGTTGAAGCAGTGTGTGAGTTTTTCTATGTGTGTGTGTGAGTTAACATATAGAAAAGTCAAGCATATGTACGATATACTATATACTATATACCATATATATATATTATGTCTAAGGGCAACTGAAGTTGCAACTTAAGTATTTAGTTTAGTTCATGGTCAACTCTCAGCTACGACAAAAAGTTGTTTCAACTCTTACTTTACAAACATATATATATATATATAAACATATATATAGATTAGAATATACATACATATATGTACAGTTAGTCCTAGTTAATATCTATATATATACACAACACAATAAAATATGTATAATTTATAATTTCTTTTTCGAAATGCTATAAAAAAAAAGTTACAAAACTCCTGAAGTGCTGTGAGTCGTATCTATAAAATAATAAAAAAAAATAATATAAATTCTTATGTAAATATGTTTAAAGCTATGTATATTATTTAGTTTACTCTTAGGCTTAGCCCAACCACCCACCATCCTACATACATATAAAAAAAAAAAAAAAAACACCCAACTATCCAAACTAAAACCAAGTTCTTCCTAATTTTGAAGTGAACAAAAAAATATTTTTAAAATTTTAAAGAAAAAAACCCATTATATTTTGTTTAGTTGATTTGTTTTCCAAATAAAAAAACAAAATTTTATTTCTTGAAATAAAAGCAAAAATTTATTTCAAAAACAACTTTACAAAAAAAAACATATTGGAATTGAAATAAACAAGTTTTTTATTTGAAATAAAAAAAAAAAACTGTTACTTTTAAATTTAAAGAAAATGCAACGAGACCACGAGACTCTTTTCAATTGTTTGTTTTTTATTATTAGCGTGAATTATGTTAAAAGCGAAAACAAAAACTAAAGTTTCAAAAATAATTAACTCTAGTTAAAAATTATGTTGTCATATATATATTAAGTTTTGTAGGTTAGTTAAATACACGCAGATAAAGTCTATAGAAACTTAGAAATAATGCAAATTATTGTACAAAAAACAAAAAAAAAAAAAACAAAAACAAACAAACAAAAATCAATATATATATATATTTAAATGTATATGTATGTTAAACAAACAAACAACAAAAATGAAGTGATTTATTACATTATTGTAAAATATATCAAAAAACAAAAACACAAAAAAAAAAAAAAAAAAAAAAAAAAAACATAAAACTGAGCATGAAAACTTTACAAACAAAAAAAGAAAATGACACAAAAAATAAAAAATTCAATGTGAAAAATTTTAATTTTTATTGTTTATTTTTTTGAGTGGGGTGGAATAGCCCGAATGTAGAAATCCTAATTTTTAAGGGAACTATAATGCACAATCATATTCAGATGTATATCTGTAGTTATGTTTGTATGTGTGTCTCCCAATCTATCTAACAGTCTGGCACTCCGTCATTCTCTCTGTCTCTCTGCCTAAGACTAGCAAGGGACGAATAAGAGCTACAGAAGATCATTTAAGTTCTCTTTATGTATGCAGCAGCATTGATTTGGTATACCTATTTGAGTAATACGAAGCTAGAATGCTCGTAGAGTGCAGAGAGTGCTCCCATTGGTCGGTTACAGTTCGACTGCAACGGTCGCTACCTGGCGTCGGGCTCAATATTTGAGCGCGCCTTGGGCTTTGAGTGAAAGCCGCCCTATATAAAGGGCTGCAGCTTTAGCATTTCTTCAGTCGTCCAGGCCTAGTGGGGCAGACAGTTGTGCAGTGCAGTAAAGTGAAGGGAAGTGAATTGTGAATGATCAGCTAAGTGCAGCTAAGCATTAAAGACTTGGAGAAAATACTTAGAGGGAATTCTTAGAGGAAACAGAAGAATTACTTTGAGAAAAGACTTAGAGGAAACAGAAGAATTACTTTGAGAAAAGACTTAGAAGAAAAACGTACAGCAAATATTTTTTAGCAGTAAATTAAATTAAGTGATTTTAATAATATATTTATGCATATTTTATTAGCCATCTTGACAGATTGAAAGGCAGAAGGAAGGAAAGAAAGAATATGTTGAAGAACTCTAATTACTCGAGCAGTGACCGAAACATTAGCCAAGTGAGTATTAAAAACGTTTTTGAAAGTACATATATTCCTGAAATATATGAAAATTGTAGAGATTAGAGATGGAAAGAGGAGAAGGGAGAGAGAGAGCGAGGAGTTTCTTACCAGCAGAAAAGCTGAGCCCAGTATTAAGGCACGCTCCTTGGCGGTTAGCTTTGGATCGCTAAAATAGATATTTGTTGTATATTGCGATTTGCTGGCCACCCATTTGTGGTCTATAGAAGCGCGCAGATCGCCACCAGAATGAATCTAAATAAGAAATACATACATATTATAAAAGTATTGGTAAATAGAAGTAAACCCACCTTAAAGTAGCATTCCTTGGGCAAACAATAGCAGCAGAAGCCGGAATTCGCGGGTCCTTCGACACAAAAGACTGGCTGATGCGTATTGCCGTCCTCAATGTAGAACTCGGGCTGCGTAAAGGTGGGCGACTGCACGACACGACCCAGCACGTTGCCCGGCGGAATCCAAATCTCCAAGTTCTTGGGCTGGCAGCAAATGGCGCCCAGTGCGAGCGTCTTGCGGAACACCAAAGCCTCCTGATGTGTCTTGTCGAGCAAGTGCATCTGGAAGGGCCGTCCGGAGCCCCAGATCATGCGGTTGTTCTGCGTGGAGCTCTCGGAGGCGGCGAAGATGGCATCGCCCAGGGGCGAGCGAACCACATAACGATTCTCCGACGAGACAGCTGTGAGAGCTAAAGAGAATTTAAGTAGATTAGACAAGAGATCAACGATGAACTCATCTCACTCACAATCGTTCAACTCAAATGTCTGCTCGATGTGCACAGACGGCAAATCGGCGAGGCAATCGTAGCCAGCCAGGGGTATAAAGGTGCGACTGCCAGCAACTGTTGAAATGGGCAAAGGTATCCGAGGAGCATCTACAAAGATAGTGGAACGTAATTTTAATCAAAAAGTATAAATAGAGCAATATAGTAAGTAGATTATAAATAGAAATATATATATTGTCTAGCAAATATAACAACTTATATGATATATACAGGGATCAGTTACAATTTCCAGCGACAGAAAGGTAAGACTCACCTGTTGTTGGTCGCGGCTGGGAGGTTATGCTGATTTGTCCATCAAAAACTGTAATTACAAGAAAATGCAAAAAAAAAAAAAAATACCTTTACTTCAATTCACAGACTTAAATGGGTTAGTGAAATTCTTATAAATCGATCATTTGGTCAATTGGAGAGGGCTAAACAAAGAAAATGTCGATAAGGCGTTCATAAAACCAAAACAGAAACAGTTGCTGATAAGATACGGCCAGCTTGTACCTGCTGACACACACACTAAAACACAAATACAGGCAGACAGCAGACCTAATAATCCAATTGTTACATACAACTAGCAGAAATTATCAGTTACTAATAAGAAATATTAAACATGAATCATTAGCATTCCAATTGGATATTTGATTTTAACTGTGCTAAACCAAAACATTACCTCTTGGTTCGTTAGCCGTGCTTGTTTGAGCCACACGTATTTCGCTATCGTATTGCAATGTGCGCACTGCATCATTTTGCAGCATTTTAATAATTTTTGAATTTATTTTATTGAACGATTCGATCCGTTGTTTAAACGCTGCTTTACAATAACAGATCAACGGACAAACTGTGTGACCGGGGCTATCGAGTTTTTAAATACTAAAAATTACAGTGTGTGATAGATTACATTGCTCCTGATTGCGTTGCTCATATTTGCGTTAACAGTGCGCAAAAGGACCACACAGGTGGCCACAACAAATACGCTCGGGCACAGCTGTAGTAAAATTTTTGGCAAAATATAAAATAAATTAGAGTCTAAGCCCAGACTGCTGTGAATACAAATTTACTTAATGAGGAGGCAACGTGAAGCTGGTGAGTTTAAGTGAGATTCAGAGCTACGAATTGAATTTGCGATTAAAACCACAGTTGTTAAATGAGCCCAAACACAAACAACTAAAGAGTTAGTCAGTGAGTAAAACTAGGGCGAAAGAAAGAGAGAGAAAGAGAGAGTTAGAGTCAGAGAGTGCATAACTATACTTACGGTTTAGTGTAAACGATGGGTATTCGTTATGAGTTGTTGCACTCTCAACCGAGAGAGCAGAGGGAGTGAGGCCAAGAAAGAAAGCGTTTGTTCCCGGTTACTTACGGTTAAATGCCAGTACATTTAAATAGGCAAAGAAGAAGAAGCGACTAATTGTTATTTGTTATGGTTTAACAACGCATTAGCTTTAGTTAATAAACAATAGAGTATCGAGGGACTAGCTGTGTTAGCAACTGCTGCTATCTCGATTGTGGCCAATCGAGCAGTGCGCAGACGCTGGAGCGGCATAAACAAGTGCGCCTTCCACCTTTAGACTCCTTTTGCTCTGCTATAACGTCAGTTTACTTCTGGCTATCGCAATAGCCTGGCCGCGAGCGCGGTCTCTCGTATCCACGCCCCCTCGCCCACACAGACCAACACACCGACACACATACAGAGATACAGCAACAGCAACAAGAAGATAACACGGCAATGTGCAATAATCAATAAACGTGCTGTTCGAAAAATAAAAACTTCCAATAAATGTAATCGTAGATTAGATCAAAATTGTTATACACTGTAATTCGTGCTACTTGAAACATCCCCTTTACATTTACGTCGTAAAAAAGAAATAACGAAACGAAAACATTTGCAAACTCTCATATATTTTCTTACCAACCAAAACGAAAACGAAGGGGGTTGCTGCTCTCTCGCTCGCACCCTCTTTGTGAGAGTGGGGCACCAAATAGAAAATAACGAAAATCCCATGAATATAAAAGCCAAGTGTATCGTTACGGCAAACTGTAAAACTTCATTTGAACGCAAACCGGAAAACGTGAGGAGAGCGCGCGTGGGTCATGTCGCTGGAGGATCCGTTTTTTGTAGTCAAGGAGTATGCATTTCACAACATTCGCAATGCCAACACACATACAATCAAATTCTGATGCAACCCTGTTCCCCTACCCCTCACGTCCTCTCTGAATCTTCCTTCTCCACCCATCCCCTCTCTCTGCCCCACTGCCTTATTTTTGTATTTGCAGCGAGGTTTTCAAAGCGCTGAACAAGACACGCGGCCTTTACCTGCGTTGGCGCGAGCTGGGCGAGAACGGAGGCGCCGAGGTTGAATGGACCACGACGGAGCTACGTAATTCGCTGCGCAGTATTGAATGGGACCTCGAGGATCTGGAGGACACTATCAATATCCTTTTGCCAAAACAAATCAAAGAATATTCCACTCTCTTCTCTCTTGCAATTCCTTAACTCTCCCTGTTTCTCTCTTAGTACGCATTGTTGAGAAAAATCCTACGAAATTTCGCATCGATAATCGTGAACTCTCCAGCCGGCGACACTTCATAGACAACACTCGGGATGAGGTCAAGCAGATGAAGGATAAGATGAGCCTGAACCGGAACAGGGACAGAGATATAACCGCACATCAACCACTGCTCGAGAACGAACGCAATCCCAGCCTCAATCACAATCACAATCAGAGCAACGATTATCACTCGCACAACGATCGCACCTATCTGGTCGACTGTCCCAATACGCAATCCGTGGCCAATACTATAGCTGGAACAATGTCGGCGGCAACGGCAGCGGCGGCGGCTGCCACTCGGCACAGTGGTACCAAATACTCGAAACTGGAGAATGCTCTGGACATAGATAGTCCTAGTCATTACGGCGGCAATCTGGATAGTCCGGGCCATCGATATGTCGGTGAGACGGTGTCCATACAGCAGCGCATGATCCAGGGTCAGGACGAGCAGCTGGACATGATCAGTGATTCCATTGGCACCCTTAAGACTGTTTCCCGTCAAATTGGCGTCGAATTGGATGAGCAAGCGGTCATGCTGGACGATTTTGGTAATGAGTTCGATACGACCGAATCAAAGCTCGACACAACTATGAAGAAAGTTGCCAAAGTTTTGCACATGAATAACGGTAATTATTGCGACAACGAACCACGAGGGTAGCTCTGAAAAGTCTTCGAACTTATAATAATAAATCCACCCTCGTAAATATTTGCGACTGTCTAAAAAATATTCATTTCACTCAATGAACTTGCTGTTAGTCCAAAAACTCATCAGACTACTCTCGTGTACTTGTTCTTTAATTAATAGTTCACTACCTTCTGTCTCTCTCTCTCTCCTTGCAGATAAGCGACAGTGGGCCGCGATTCTCATACTTTCTGTGCTGTTATTGTTTGTGATAATTTTGTTTATTATTTTGTAATTTTATTTTATTTTTTAAATTCTCTCTCCGTTGATTGTAGTGTAAATTCATTAGATTTATATACAATATATATATATATATATATATATATATATATATGAATATATATATGTATATTTGAAATAAGTATATTTGCAAATTTTAAAGTAAATTCAAATATTTTCTATATATATATATATATATTTTATTATTATTAGCCACACTACAAAACTTCTTAGCTGTATATACACACACACACGTTTAAACATTTATGAACAAACAAAAAAGAAAATAAGAATTGAAGTAACAAATTGGATGTAAGCGTATTTCCAAAGACAATTTCCGGCGTAGGCTAAACTGTAACACTTGCTAAACGGTACAATGTATATGTATGAGAAAGAATATATCTGTATATCAAAGAGAGTTATTTAAAAAAAAAAAAAGAAACAAAACCTGTATGCAGTTGAGAAAATATATAAATAATTAAAAAAACAAAACAAAAATTGTATTAACTAACAGCTGCCGAGACTACTGTTAAAATAGAATTCCTTGACTATGTTAAGGTGCTGTTGTTTTTCGCCAACCGGTAAACAACGAGAAGTGTGACCTGCGCATAGCTAGGGCAAAATCATTTTAACAATGCAATTTTTTGGATTTGATAGACTTACATTTTTGCAGCATTTTCGGATTTCTTGTTCTCTTGCAAATGGGAGTATATTTATTTATTTCTAGAAGATTATTAAATTTCGTCATTGCATGCGTGCAGCTGACGTCGAAATCCTCTAACGGCTATTTGTTTTACCTGAAAAGGTGTGACCAGCTGATATACAGAAAATAAAAACATTTAACCAAAATGCGCAATGCAAATTGGAGGATCTGTGAGTACCAAATTTGCATTGCTTGGCGGTTGTCGCGTTCTATTTCAATTGTGAGTACTAATAATAATAAAAGAAAACAATATTTTTATTTATTTATATCAATTTTATATTTAGATTACACATGAAGCGAAATAAAAGCAATGCAGCGCGCGCTGCCAAAAAGAAACCGAAAAAGGCCGAAAGTAGTGGCAGCAGCAATGAAAGCGAGAGCGGGAGCGGAAGCGGTGAAGAAACAGTTACAATAACGCCAGAAAAAAAGACAAAGCCAAGCTACAACAGCTTTGAGCAATTTCTCAGTCACGTGCAGGATCAACGTCTCAAAGCTGCTGCAAATGTACATGAATTTGCCTTCAGAAAGAAACGAGTTCGTGTCTTGAGTTCGGCTAGCGATGTCAAGGAGAATTGCAATGGAGGCGTTGTCTACTGGATGTCGAGAGATGCTCGCGTTCAAGACAATTGGGCGCTGCTATTCGCCCAGCGGCTGGCATTGAAACTGGAGCTGCCTTTGACGGTAGTCTTTTGCCTGGTGCCGAAATTCCTGAATGCAACCTTAAGGCATTACAAGTTTATGCTGGGCGGCTTGCAGGAAGTGGAACAGCAATGCCGGGAGCTGAACGTCTCATTCCATCTATTGCTCGGGCCAGCCGTAGAGCGGTTGCCCCAGTTTGTCAAGGACGAGAAAATAGGCGCTGTAATTTGTGACTTTGCACCGCTGAGGCTGCCGCGGCAGTGGGTCGAAGACGTGGTCAAAGCCCTGCCAGCCCATGTGCCGCTTACGCAAGTTGATGCCCACAATGTGGTACCCCTCTGGGTGACCTCCGATAAGCAAGAGTATGCAGCGCGCACAATTCGCAACAAGATAAATTCGAAATTGAGTGAATATCTAACCGAGTTTCCACCGCTGATAAAACATGCGTATGGCAATGTCAAGGGCAGTCGAAGTGTGGACTGGACTGCAGCATACGAGATGCTCAGCTGCGACAAGTCTGTGGATGCTGTGGAGTGGGCCAAGCCGGGCTACACAGCTGCCTGCAGGCAGCTCTACGACTTTTGCACTCGCCGCCTGCGACACTTCAATGACAAGCGCAATGATCCCATGGCGGATGCTCTGTCTGGTCTCTCGCCCTGGCTGCACTTTGGACAAATATCCGCGCAGCGTTGTGTCCTGGAAGTGGGCCGTTATAAGACCATTTATAAAGAATCGGTCGAAGCTTACTTCGAGGAGGCGATCGTGCGTCGGGAATTGGCTGACAACTTCTGCTACTACAACGAGCATTACGATAGTCTGAAGGGTCTATATAGCTGGGCATACGAATCTCTTCAAGCGCATCGCAAGGATAAGCGCAGCCCTTGCTATAGCCTGGAAGAACTGGAGCACTCGCGCACCTACGACGATCTGTGGAACTCGGCCCAGCTGCAGCTGGTCAAGGAAGGCAAAATGCACGGGTTTCTGCGCATGTATTGGGCCAAAAAGATTTTAGAGTGGACCGAAACGCCGGAACAAGCGCTTGAGTATAGCATATTATTGAACGACAAGTACAGTCTGGATGGACGCGATCCGAATGGCTACGTTGGTTGCATGTGGTCCATCGGTGGGATTCACGACCAAGGCTGGAAGGAGCGCGCGATATTTGGTAAGATTCGCTATATGAACTATCAAGGCTGCAAGCGCAAGTTCGATGTCAATGCCTATGTGATGCGCTACGGCGGAAAGGTGCACAAGAAAAAAGAGAGTTAAGGAAACCGAGAATCTCTCAAGTCTCTAAAAGAAGGTTGCTATGCTTTTGTGGTATATCTACAATATATCTAGCTATGCGTTGCATAACCTTTATTGTTAATTACCTGATTGTTAAGCTGCTAAATGAATAAGTCAAATGAAAATAATTTAATTGTTTTTTTTTTCCAATCTTTCCGCAACTCCATTTTTAATGTTTATAAAAAAGGTGATTTAACATCTACATGGGGGTCACACGCTAGGCGCCTAATCCTTTTCAGCAATTTTGGTTAGATGATCCTCGATCTCCTTCTCATCGAGTATACGAAACTGCGGATTTGACTTGCTCACAACGCCGATCTCAATGCCATTTGGTTTAAAGTCAACCGCCAGGACACTGGACAGACAAGTGATTGCCAATTGTATGGTCTTCTCCTCGGAGAGATTGTTTTTGTACTTCTTTTCCAGATAGCTATTGGCCTCAATCATTTTCGCGCCAACTGAACAGGCACGGAAACCGCAATAATAGCCAGCCGGATCCGTTTTGTAGACGCATGGACCCAACTCATCATCGTAGGAGATTAGGACCATGCTACAGCCCAACGGGCGCATCTCAGCATTCTGGGTGTACACCTGATTGATGTCCGCAATGCGACGGCAGAGCACATCTACGGGCATCTCGTAGCCGTACTTGTAGCGGAAATTGGCTGCTTCATAGCGTGCCTTTTGCACCTGAGACCGGGAGTCGGCTGCAAATATTTAGTATGGAATATGCAAATTAAATAAGGTGTTGATGTTGATGTGTGGCTTGTGTTTACCAATGCGTCCAGTCATAACGCAGCCAATTTCCTTGGTAATGCCAAACAAATGGGTCACAGTCTCTGGCACAATATTCTTCTCCGTCACCTTCTTCTGGGTGGCCACAACGGCACAGTCGCCGCTCTTTAAAGCCACCGAAGTGATGTTCTCCTGGGTAATGGCCTTAAATGCATATTCTAGAGCCAACAATTGGTTAATTATTTTACATATTTGTATACTGTCTTAAATACTTACCCACTTGATAGAGGCGTCCCTCTGGCGAAAAGATTGTAATGTGTCTGTCGAAACCGGCTGAACTTCCTCGAGACATTTTCGTATATTTTTAATTTGCCTAAACCAGAAAGTTGTTTGGCATAATTAACATAAATTGTATTATGGCGTTTCGCCTTTCGTACATACCTTTACTTTATTTAAATTTCAAACCAACAAGTTTTTTAGTGTGCTTGGGTTTCGTTTTGCTCACGGCAGAAATTTATAAAGTCATTGTTGACTAGGGATGGCAAACATATCGAATTATTGCGCGATAACACGTTCTCATTTTGTGCGAATGTCAATAATTGGCTGACTATCGAAATGCATTGCGTCTGCGAATGGCAAGCGAAGTGGAATAAGGTAAATATACCACAATATAAAATAAAGAATAAAATAATGTTAGGCGTATATTAAAAGTGTTAAATTAAGTATATGTTTACACGTTCCGGCTGTTACGCATTACGAACATGCACGAGGATGACTTGAAAAATCAATTGACCATTGCGCGCAACGAGATAAACAACTTGAGGTACAATTCAAAAATTTCCATCATCTTGTGGAAGTTCAAGTTCAATGTTATTTATGTACCTTGTTATGCAGACAGCAGGTGCGCAATTTACAGCATGTGCAGCGCAAGGACATTGAGACAATAAACCGGCTGCTACAGGATTTTCGTTGCGAAGGCTGCGCCGAGGCCAAGGACAACCTGCAGGTACGTTGCAGGTGAGTGGGGCCGCTAATGCAATGATATTAATGCCAATGCCAAACAGCAGAACAGCAGCAATGATAACGAAGACGTCGTCCACTTCAAGTCCATTGGCATAATACGCACCGACTTTCCAGAGAAACGCGCTGTGCCCCGGCAGTCGAGCGTGGGCAATCGCCTACGTAGCTTTATACAACTTAGTGATGGCACTTTTACCAATCCGGAGCATTCGCTTGAGGGCTTAGCCGATTTCTCTCATATGTGGATTATCTACCATTTTCATCGAAACAATTCACATCCCAAGGCCAAGGTGGCACCCCCTCGCTTAGGCGGAGAGCGCGTTGGCGTCTTCTCCACACGTTCGCCGCATCGGCCTTGTCCCATTGGATTGTCGCTGGTGGAGATCGAGAGGATTGAGGGTGATAGAATAAGCTTCTTTGGAACTGACATGGTGGATGGCACTCCTGTGCTGGATATTAAGCCATATATACCCTACTATGATGCACCTGTGCTAAGTGTAGACTCAGGTGTGTTGGGCTACAAATCTATAGATTATGTTCTTCTATTGATTTTACGTTGTATTCACCATAAGGTCGAACTGCTGCAATGCCCAATGAAAACAATGCCGACTTCTATGGGTCCCGTCAAGAACCAGATGGCGAGGAATCCGATTTGGAACTGTACGGAGCGAGTGGCTATACAGCCAATAATATAAATCCCGATGTCTTGAGCGGTCAACCGCCATTGCCGAGTGCTGTGCGTGTACCCAATTGGGTTGTAGCCAACCATCGTCTGACCGTTTGCTTCAATGAGCACGCCGAGGCCCAACTGCTGGAGCTGCAAGTGCAAAAACAATGCATTGTGGACATCTTGGAAGCGGATCCTCGTTCCGTATATCTGCGCACAAAATATGGCTCACAAATATTTACGTTTCAACTAAGCGAAGTTACTGTCACTTGCAAATTTGATGATAAAGCTGGAATTGTGACTGTGGTTCAAGTGCGGCGCAATGAGAATATTCAAGTCGCTGCTTTGGACGGTGGAGATTCGCACAATTCCTGATGGGGCCGTGTATTTAAGATAAATATTACAAAATATAATATTTGCAAAGGTTTTGAAAACTGATTCGCTTGTGTAGTAAAACAAAAAGTTAATTATCTTTGTGTGTGTTTTAGCTTAAGTATTCAAGTTGAGGAGCTTTAAAAATGTAAACTGTTTCGATTATGTATAATATATATGTATATGAGGCAACGCGCTTATAATGTAACGAAAATAAAAACTGTGTTTATATTTAGTTCACTAACAATTGCTACATATATTCATATATTATGTTAAATCTTAATTATGTTCTTTTTAGATGAGTGATTCTCTGACTTGGTTGGAGTTTCTTAGTCAGGCCAAAGAATTTCTGGCTATGTCTTTAGATTTAAATGACAGCTGGCAGCTTATTGAAAAGGTGAGTATATATGCACCTGATACAATCGATTCTATATCTTCCATTCTTTATCTTATAGGACAATCAAGAGCCCAATTCTTTTCTGAAATACACTCAAAAAGTCAAATGTGCGAATGAACTGATAAATGTGGAGTACCATATTGTGTACAGCATCTCCTATCAAGTGCCCATGCTCTATCTGCAGGCTCATCGATCAGGTAAATTGAATCTCTCCTGCAATTATGTATCAATTGTTATTAAGCAATGTTTTGACCAGATGGTGGCCTCTTGGATATAGAGGCCACTTGGAATCTGTTTATGCCAGATGCGCCTCGTAGCGATCTTTATCAAATGCTAACGCCAATGGAGCATCCGGTGTTGTTTCGTCCCTTTATGGCGTTGCATCCATGCCGCACCGGCGAGATTTTGGCCCAGTTTGGCAAACAGAGTAAAAATCGCATACTCACCTTTATAAGTGTCTATGGACCTTATGTTAAGCTAGAGTTATCCAATAGGTATGGCTTGATTAAGGAAAATAATCAAAGAAATTAAATTAAAATGGTTTATTGTTGATATGAAGACAATATATAAAAGAATTGTAATGTTAAACTTAAGACTAGATATATAGTAATAGTACATTGCTGAAATTTACAAACAGCACTCATCTAGATATACATAGATCTAATCGAATTGAGTCTACATATAAAGTGATTGCACATATTGTAAAGAAAACCCTATACTCAATCTATAAGCATACGTTATTTATATTATATCAAATTGGCTTTACCAAAGAACCCAAGTCTCATTAAGGAAATAAAACAAAATGGACTGTTTAATAACATCTATATACATAGATTGTATTTATTATATGTGGTTTGATTTAAACACTGATTATAGGCATTGGCTTACAAAGAAGGTTATGATCTTTAGTTATATGCTAAATACTCTACTATATTTATTTATGTATATTTTCGAAAGCCTTGGCACAATCTTGACAAGTCAAATAAAAAGTGTATAAATCATAAAAAGCGAGTTTTTAGCACTTGAAGCTGCATAATGGCACATATATGAATTAGCTACTATAAAAACTATAGACAAGATGATATATACGTATATTAATTAATATATCTATACAAATTGGAACAGATATTATATGGTTGACATAATTTGTAGTTTCTTTTTTATATGCAATAGTTGATTTTATTTCTTTTTTAATATTTTTTAATTAAGTTGTATTTTTGGCTATAACTGATTTGTTCAGGTTTAATATTCGTATGTCTATTTACAACTATGTTTTATTTATATTTATATTTCGTGTCGTTTTCTAGTTGTTGCTGTAAATAAATACATTTTAAGTCTGCTGTTCTATAGTACATAGTTATTTAGCTTATCCATATATAGAGTATGTATATATTTGTTAGCTTTTGCTTCTTCTAATAGTAATTTGTTTATACTTCTCTTCATTTATAATTAATGTTAACTGGCTACTGTGTGGCATTTGCATCCCATTTGAAAGCTTTGTGGGCTTTAGGATTCGCATTCGAAAAATGTTTTGTTTGCAAAAAAAAATTAAATGGATTTTTATGTATATCTATATATATAAATATATAGACGAAACCAAAATTTGATATATTTATGGATTTATATATTTATAATTACTATGTATATTTCGTGTGGTCTTGAAACAGTATTAGTTGATCATTTAATCAATTTCTACTACTAAAAGTAATCCCTTTGCTCGTTCATAAAACTAATATGGGGTTATTGGCTTCAAGCAGTGTCTGACTGTAAGACCGTCCACCGTCCATATTTTCATAGAGAGCATGACCCATCGGAAAATATTAATATCAACTTTCTTGTTTTTGCTACTCCTTCCTTCTACTATTTTTGTGAGTTGAACGAGCATTATGCAGTCGATTACAGCCGACAGCAAAGGTTTTTTTTTTTTATATTTAAATGAGTCTAACATAAAGTTTATATATAATGGTTGAATAGAATCTGTTATGCAAGAAGTAATTACCCTTCCATGAGTCACTTGAGAAAAAACGATATATTTAATACAATTTTTTCTTTTTTTTTGCTAAAACGAAAAAACTATTCAACTCCCCTCATTAGTGTACAAATATTACAATCAATTTAATTTAAATCTCGACAAAAATATTTAAGTAAGCAAACGGTTCAAACTACCCTTATAAGCATTTATAATAAAACTAGAAAATCAAAAGAAAACAAAGAACAAATTATATATTTTTGGTATAAAATAAATAAATATATTTTTGAACAGTTCACACTTTCTCATTGATGATATTCACCAACTGAGTATTGCTAATGCTCTTGTATAGTTAGTTTAAGTAGGTACTATGTGTGTGTTAGAATATATATGCATACATGTGATTAGCATTATCTATGATATTTCTTAGGTATTCTAGATATATATTTATGTAGATATATGTATATATTTAAATGTATAGGAATGATGTTTTGTTTAATATATCAATTAAATTTACTTATACCAAATTTTAATATATGTAAGCACAATAAATGTTTAGGAACTCACTCACACCTATCTGTGGCTATATATATTGTTCCAATTGTAATTGTATTATATAGATAAACATATTTACATAACATAATGAGAATCTAAAGCTATTTTCCAAGTTTCGCTTCAGATATTGATTCGATTCTTAGATTCGTTCAGTTTTACTTCTTTATATATATATCTATATATATATATATATATGTTTCGAGTATTTATGTAGCACATATCTATATGTATAGTACTATACCAATTATATTTTTTCTTTTGTTTTTCATATCAAAATTCATTTAAAGCTTCACCATTTCATTGATATTTTCTCTTTTATATATCAATTTACATTTTTTTTCGTTTATTTATATATACAAAATACATAATAAATAAATAACATATAATATATGTGTGATTCTGTGCACTGCTGTTTTCAAAATGAATAATAATTTATACAATTTTACACTCAATTTTCTCAATTGAAAATTTTTAATTAAAATTTAGCCAATGATATGTTTTGTTTTATTTTTTTATTTTTAAATATTTTCGAAACTTGAAAATCAACGAATAACAATTTTTTGTTGTCTAGGATTATAAAGCATACACACAGCATTATTTTAATACTCGTTCGCGTAGTCAAATAATTTAGTTTGGTTCGTTTATAAAATTTTATGAATAGACTTGGAATACAGCCTTGAAAATCAGCTATATGTACTCAAATCTGTAGTTTCATCCCATCATTGATGTTCTGATAATATTAGCTAAAATCCCTAATGGAGTGACTTGATCAGCTAAGCTGGGTAATTATATAGCTTAAGCCAATTGGTGAAGTGTTAAAAATGAAATTTTAACATAAACGAGTATTGGGCAGTCGATTGTACCCGACTGCAAAGTTTACAATATTTCATTAAAACTAATTTCGACGGATTTAAATGTAAATATGTATCTATGTAAATGTGTATATATAATTTATAATATTTATATATATTTTTTTCGTGTTTAGACTGTGCATTCGATTTTGAAAATTCGCACTACATTCTTTTTTTGTTTGTTTGTTTGTTTTTGGTCTCATTTAAGTTGCATTATTGGACAAGTTTTACGTGTATGTATGTGTGTGTGTAAGTGTATGTGTTACTTACAGTGCCTAATAAATACGTGTACCAATCTATATATAGTACATCTAAAGCTTTCACGTGGTTAACACTGAGATTTCTTATGTGTAAATTTAACTAAAGATTTATATGTATATAACTGTTCTATCTGGAATGCATGTGACTTTTGTAGAATTTCTCGTTCACAATATTAAATTATGCTATTAAAAAATGTATGTGTGTAAAGCTCTACCAACTCACTCGATACGAAACGATTCGAGAATTTTGCTAAAAAATTGTTTAGATCTTCGTCTATGGGCAATATATATATAATATCTATGGGGCTTTTAAGGCTAAGGTAAATTATGGACGGTGATGCTTCTGGTAACAATGCGAAAATCATTATCATCTAGCTCATCGGCCGACTCCGACGCCAACTGCCTGCGTTGGCCAATGAAGTCGCTCGATGCGCTGCGCCTGAATCAGCTGCACAGCATATTAAAGAATCCGCGACCTTTCTCGGAGCGCGGCGCCATTAGCATCGGTACCTGGTTCTTGTGAGTTACCTTTATCTGCAAGGGAAAATATACGTAAATAAACTCCATTTAGTTAACTCTTTCTTTGCTTCACGTACCGTGCAAGGCATTTGCATCCAGGGCTCGCCATCGATTTGCATGGGAAATGTTTTTTTGGTCTTGATAATCACCTCGCTGCACTGGGCCAAGCGACGACCCGAAGCGCGCAAACCTGTGCGCACCTGACCCATATGCAGACAATTCTCCAAGCCAATTACCTCTATCAAGCGATCACCGAAATCTGCCGTTGAAGTTCCATTAATGATACAGTCAACCATGATGGTAAAGCACACACGTACCTTGTATAGCCACAGATAGATCCACGGAATTGAAACTCGTCGCGGAGAATTCCTTGTCGCTCGACTTTAGCTTTTTACTCTTGCCGAAGGGTCCGGCACTCTTGCGTATGCGTTTCTGTGATAGATGCTCTCCCCACAAATTGGAGCCGCCATGCGTATAGGGTATATTCAGCAATGCTACACCCTGTAAATGCGGTCCATTGGCCAAGTCTAAGGCAACGCCATCGCACTATTGATTGGAGATAAATAGGTAAATTTATAATTTAAATATTTTTTAAAATATTATACATTTTTTATCATTTTAATATTTCCATTTCTTTTCTACATATTTTATTTTCTTACCACGATTTCAATATGTTCATGCAAATTCTTGCAGGAGGCAGCGAAAGTCTCGGATGTTGCATATTCGAAATACCAAAGTTTGTTCTTCATGCGGCTATTGAATTTATGCGGATTTTTCTCGCGCTCCAAATGGAATTTCACACAAATTGCGGCGTCCTGCAATAGAGGGAGAAAAGTCAGCATAGAAAGCAAATCAGAAATTGCATTCGCACCTCTAGTGCAGGTGATATGCACAAATAAATGCAGAGATACAAACATGTGGGACGTGCTTCAAAACTTATTGCCAGCTGCAGTGGCCTGTCAGTTCGATTGCCTCGCCTCCTGATAGTCATGGCGCATGCATAACGCATACGCAGCGTAGGCCACAGCTCTATTATGTGAAACACATTCAGGCAGTGCACGCAATGCATGCAGTGCATGTAAGCGAGCTGGCAGAATTTTAATTTTTGCATATTCGGCTAGCGACGCAGCACTTGACACAGCAGCAGTCGGAGTGCTGGCCAAATATGCAAAAATTGAGGCTGAACGGCAGGCGGAGTGGGAACAGGACGAGGAGTAGCAACAGGTAGTGAGGAGGACGAGCAGCAAGAGTTGAAGAAGGAGAGTGCAGATGCTGGAGCAAACGAACGAGCGATAGGAGCGAATGTGACAGCAAAACCCAGGAGGAGGCTAAAACCGCAGCCGGAACAAGTGCTTGTGGCCCAGGGCTTTGATTGCGCATACGACACGTTGCACATTTTGTAGGCGCATTTATTATGCACGTCACAGCGCCCACACAACACACAGCACAGAGCACACACAAACAACCCCCAACACACACATACACACACACACACCAACCCACGCTTGCCTTGCTGGAAAAAGGGAAGCCGCTATGGCATTTACGTTTTGTGGCTGTTGCTCTCACAAAGCAAAATAAGATTAATTACACGGATCCAAAGCCAAAAATTGAATTATCAGGCTAAAGAGTGGGCGAGTGTGTGGAAGCGAGCTTGTGCGGCGCAGGTGGAAAACTTTTTAATTAGCCCCAGCAGCTGCGAGTGCCAGCTCAACTAAATTCATAACTTATATGCCGAGGACCGCTTGAAGCCTTGGGCAACGGTTGCGACTGGACGCGCATAAAATGTGGCCCATAAAATTTTGTTAAACAAATTGACAAACTGACACTAAAGGTCATAAAGCCGCAAAGTATGGGATGAGCTGGATCTGAAGAAGTCGTAAAACCTGTGAGCCTCAAACGCAATATATATGTATGTATATGAAACGTGCCAAGTCCCAGGGATCTGTTATCGGTACTGCAAAAGAGCAATTACATATATTGTATGTATGCATGTACATGCACATGTGTGTGTGTGCGCTTACCCCTTGCCCAGAACCTCATGCTCTTCTCATTTCATCGTGTAATGCAGAAAGTTCGCGCTTAACGTCAATTGTTGACGTTAAACCAAAGCGTCAGTGTGAAATACTTTGCCATGCCGCATTACTCATACTCTGCAGACGCACACACACACACACACACTCACTCAACCTTTAAGCTGCTGCTGCTGCCGTTGTTGCTGCTGCCACTTGAACTAGCATATCATACACACACACACACACGCACGCTCACATATATGACAAGTTGCTGGGGAGTCCTCAAGATGCTCTCTCCCACACACACACACACACACACACGAGTGGAGAGCCAGAGGCAAACATGGGTCTGAGGCGGAGGCTGTGCGAAATGAAGCCGACAAGTGAAATCCCAGCAGCAACAGCACACACAATGACAACAACAACGAAGCAACAAAACAACAAACAATAAGCCACAAAAACAACAACAAAGGACAGGCATGGACCACAGAATACCCTGTAAGTATTTCATTCGAATACCCCATAAGCTAGGCAACCAAAACTAAGAGCTAAGCGAAGCGCTTCAGGTTGTTTGCCAGGCAATTTATAAAGCTCATTGATGCCTGCTCATTGGGCAAGTGAGAGTATATTGGTTGCCTTCATATTTTTCAAAAAGGATAATTCATCTTAAAACTATGACTATAGTTAGTTACAGATGGATTCAAGTTCTTATTCATTCTTAAGACCTTCTCCCCCTATTCCCATGTTTCTTTCTCTTTATATTCATATATTTTACGTTTATATTTCCATCTATTATAGTTCCTGTGCTTGTCAGAGTCCTTTTCCGTTGTAGGCATATCCTTTCGATATTTGTTTACTTTTAAGGGGTATTTGTAACAACAAAATCGTCGACAGTTTGCTGTAGACGCCTACAGTTTAAACAGACGCACATCAGGTCATAAATAAACTAGAGCACACACACAAACACACACGCTCATAGAGACACACACAGTCACACATGTAATAAGAAACAGAGACAGAAATTTGATGGCATCTTTTTGTAGTATTTTTATATATTTTGTTTCGGTCGGGATTTGTTGTGGATCTTAATCGCATGGCTGGCAATTGTCTGTCTGTGAGCTGTGTGTGTGTGTGTGTGTGTGGGTGTGTGTGTGTGTGTGGGTGTGTGTGTGTGTGTGGGTGTGTGTGTGGGGCTCACTGCGTATTAGGCTGATATTTAGTTACGTTTGGGGGCAACGGCAACGACGGCGACGTCGTGGGCTATAGTGGGGAGGGTGAGGGGCGAGGGGTGGAATAGAGTGCAAAATGTTTGCACAAAAAGGATTTCAACTTTAGCCGCACTTGACAAATGGTGCAGCATTACAAAATACACAGGCACGCACACATCTCTATCCCCTATACAGAGATATACGAGCGTAAATATGAGAAATAAAAGTGCTCTATCGGGGAGTGCCTGACCAGCTGGATCCCTGACTTCTGTCTTGAGCTGTTGTGGCAGAAACACTCACAGAGAGCTCAAGTTTGTATGCGTTTATTTCTGACTGTGGGGGCAGTACGTGTAGAGTATCCATAAAATGGAGTATTTGATATTTGAGGAATCTACTATGCACTCATACTGTTGTAGTCCTCTACTGCTAGATTGACTCGGCTGAGGATGCTAATACTTCCAGCTTATACTCTATTTCTATACTGCTATACTCTTATACTCATATAATTATAACCTCCAGTGTTCATACTCTTGTACTGCTGCACTCTTAAGCTCCTATACTCATACTGATATGCGATGAGCACTAATATATGATGATATTAGTGAATTATTATGCTGTGTTTTTATGCAGATGTAGAGATAGGCAGCCACAGTCAGGTCGATTAGGTTGTTGATGTTATATATATATTGTCTTACACTTTATGCTATACGTATATATTGTCTTATACTTTAATGCTCTCTGCTGATATAAATTGTATAAACGAGAGCGACAAGTCAGTTGTTCAGTCTTATATCAGTCTTATACTATTACTCTTTTACTGTATAATATATAGCGTCTTACTGCCTCTAGCCAACGAATCGACCCTATTAACTTGGCCATTTACAATTGGTATAAACAGTAAACACTATCGCAGGACATTCGACTTCTACCCCTACCCTCATGCGTCGGTCCCATGTGGGCGTGTTTTCATTCTGATTAGACGCAGGACACGAGTCAAGTTTGCGCCTTGCTGATTTGTACAACATATCCGTTTTAGTTGCTGCCACTTCTTGTGGGCCATGGTTTTTTCGGCTTTCGTTTGTCGTGACTTTCGTGCGCTGACGTTCGCATCTGTATCTGTATCTGTATGACCTGCCTGCCTGCCTGTAAATTTGCCACTTAGCCTTTCTTTATGGCCGCATTAAATCTTCGCCAGCTACTTAATTTTGTGCGTTTTTCCTCTTTCGTTTTGATTTCCACTTTCGACCCAGGACCTTCTGCATCTTGTGTTAAATTATTCAAAGGATGCTTTAGCCAAAAGAAAAGTAAAACTTAGGCCATCTGATTCACATGCTCGAATTTATTGCCCGATTGGGTTCTTTTCTGTCAAGTCGTCCCTGGGGCTCAATGTGTGTCCGTGTTGTCCAGGACTCGTTTAAGCCACTCACTTGTCGGCAAATAGTAATTAGAGAGCCAGCCAAGTCTGCTGCTCATTAATTTAAATAGTGCATACTTCGCATATCCCGTTAGCCCCTTAATTGTCGTCGTCCATTACAATTTGGGGACATTTAGCCATTTAGACATTAGGCCAGTGGACATTGGGCGATTAGACTGAAGTGTTGACGGGACAAGCGATGCTGGTTGGGCAGTCTAGTACATTAGAGCTCTACTGTGGGTTGCTAGCAATCAATGTTAAAATTATACTTCCTAGCCTCAGAGGAAGTTGAAGCTGTAATTGCCTGTCAGTTTAAACTCAGCCCTAGGAATGGAGCCGATTCTGGAGTAGTCAATACTAGGCTAGGCTGTCATGTGTAGTTCGACTTCTGTGATTAGTGTTGAAGTTGATCAAATGATGGAATCTATTAACAATTTGTCAGCAATAGACGCATATCAATCGACTCCCATGTCCTCAATCAGACTTCGGTGTTTGGCTTAGTCTGATTGCTGCATTCCTAGAATACAATTGGCTCTGATCCCAAATCCATTTGCATGCAGCTCATAGTTCGCAGTTTGGCATTTTGAGCTCGACATTTAACCTTATCAACCCATGCCCAATTATGTGGCCTATTGATTGAAGTCTATTTGCATTCCGCTGTCCTTTGAGCCCTGATGTTCGCGCGCGCTAATGATTGCGCTGTTTGAGCTCTATCGATGCATTTATGATGCAAATGAGCCGCCGACTGTTGATTGAATGCCAGCTATTTGCAACTGTGTTTGTCCCATCTCCGTCCCCCCCTCTCTCTCTAATGTGTGGGTTGTGTGTGTGTGCAATCAACTTTAGCCGCATTTGCAATCGGGGCATGCTGCACGTTGCACGTTACATGTTGCATGTTGCATGTCTTTGTGCAGCACTTTGGTAATTTGCGGCAAGCGTGAAATATGGAAATTCGCAGCCATTGTTATTCTTACTTTTGAATACCCTATATATATAGAGCAAGAGTGCACATACCCTAGTGAATTGTGAAGATGGATACAGTGATGCCTCCCAGTAAGATACCTTCTAGCTGCACCATCTCAGCAGACTCTTTTCACTAATTTAAGTATATTAAACTTGCTCAAATCAGAGCTCAACTTTCTTCTTTTGTATCAACAACCTTTGTCAGAGTTGTTGACTGTTTGCTCAAGCGAGAGTTCACTGTATTCTCTGCTATCTATTTCCCCAGCGCTTTTGTTTGAGTTTCATTTCAGTTCCTTTGCAGCTCTCGCTCGCTCGGCTTTCAAGTTTATGGCGAAATTTGCATTAGAAAGCGAGGGATTGCACTTTTTCAGCTTTTGAGCATTTTCAACTTTTCATTTCGCGTGCATTTGCCGAGTTCTGTGCGCTAAAAAGGGCGGAAATGTGTGCTACGTTTTGCTTCCATACTCAAATCACAAATGCTGAATAAATGATTAAGCAAATGAATATATGGCCCTATGAATTATTGAATAGTGTGAATAGAGCTCTGCACTCGTATATTGACTTGAAGCCAAAGTAAACACAAAGGCATTCGCCATGAATATTGTTGCAGTTGACTTTGTCTTTAAGCTGCTTTCCAAATTTAAGCTGCATTATGAGGAGATTATGTGGAGACATTCCATTGTTTGTTATAAAGTTTGTACAATCCCTGAAATACCTGCAATACACCTCCATTCAACTCAAACTGTAAGCTTCTGTGCGAAGTTTTGACTGTAGATAGCAAAAGTCTGCAACAATTGCTGGAAAGTTTATGTCGAAAAGCAAGAAATGAAATGGCTTTGCAGGGTATGCAGGAAATTCGATACTAGATACTGATAGAGTTGTGAAAAGTAGTATCAATTGAATACTCGATAAGTTGCCTATATGTTAAAGTTGAAAGTTGGCCTCTTAAACATGTAACTGTCGACTTCAATATACTCTAAGGGCAAAGAGAGAGGCACTGTGAATTTATTTCTTAAGATTATCTGAAGCTGTCTTCATTCATGCTTGTCACGCACTCTCAGCTAGGGTATGCGCCCCTATGTCCGTTTGGCTAATATGATTGCAATCGTGCTCTGCTGTGCTCTTAATATGAAACAAACTGCAGCAGCACAAATTGTTAACTGATTTACCAATTAAACAAACAAAGCAGAAAAACAACAGACGAGTCGAGCAGACAGGAAACAGGGGATGAGTCTTAGTTTACTTACCACGCCAACGGAAAAATAATTGTTGATAATGTTGTAGGGCACTGTGCAGTCCTTGTCCGATTGCACTTTGATGGGCTTTTGCGGAATGTTGGTGGTGCTGCCAGTTGCTGCTGCTGATGCTGCTGGTGGTGCTGTTGTTGCTGTGGGTGTGGTTGCTGCAGCTCCTATTGTTACTGCTGAGGGTGTTGTTGGTGTTGATGCTGTGTGGGCTGCTGCTGTTGCTGAGGGAGTCCTTGGTGTTGCTGGTGTAGACGCTGCCGTTGCAGAGGGTGTTCCTGCAGCTGCTGTTGGTGTTTTCGGTGTTTGTGGCGTGCTATCCACTTGACGTTGTCTGCTCTGCGGCTCTGCGTTGATATTGCTGCTGGTGTCGGACAAATCTAATGACAATGTAATTTGCCGCTTTACAATGCTTTGCTGTTGACTATTATGATCATCGCTTTGATTATGCTCAAATGCTGCTGTTGCTGCTTGCTCTGTGGCTGTTGTTGCTGTTGACGCTGCTGCTGCTGCCGCTGCTGCAGCTTCCGCTGCCAACTTTTGCTGTTGCTTGTGCTGCAGCAGCAATGTCTCTAGCGATTGCTTTTCCGTTGCATCTGTTCTGCTGGCTGCCAGCAGTTGGGTTTGATTGCTGTTGCTGCCAACGGAATTGCTGCCACTGCCACTTGAGTTGCTGCTGCTGTTGCTCTTGTTGCTCATTGTGGCAGTCAATGTTTTTTTTTGCACCCGCCTCGTTTCGAACGTGGACATCGAAATGCTCTTCGTGGTTGTGCTGCCACTTACAACAACATTCCCACTTCGCACCACCTCCAGCTGCTGCTCCTCCTCCTCCTCTTCCTCCGTTCTCGTTGTAGTTGTGGTTGTTGTTGCCATCATAATCGGTTTGCCCGTTGACATGTTGTCGTTGCCACTGCTGGCGCTGTTGCTGACGAAGTTTTGCCGCTGGATTTCCTCGAAACGTTCGATCACCGATTTGTCGACCACAACGCTCTGCGACAATTCAATCACCTTCTGCATGTTTGAGTGCAAAGTTACCTGTCGAACAGACCGAAGCATCGAGAGGGTGAGTGCGGAATAGAGGCAGTTAGAGACATGTGTATGTGTACTATGTGTGGCTACATTCAAAATTAGTTTGTGTAATCGTTTTTTTCGGTTTCCGATTCGATTGCCGTGCCCTCGCCTCCCACTCTGGACCAGACTCAATCTGCAGAGCTGCAAAAACTTTGCTAGATAATTGGATTTTTCTTTCTAATTTACTTTTGCAAACTGTTTGCTTTCACTTCTAACAGCTCGATTTTCAGATTCAAGCTATTCACGATAAAGTCTCGCATCTATCGATACATTACACTAAAATATTTTGAATAACTAGCTAAGTTTATTGAACGATTATTATCGCTTAAATGTCTAGCTACTTTAAGGAATCTATCGATTCGATAGTTTCACTTTAATTTCAACTTCAGTGATCACGCATATCCAACTGGTTTTTGATTTCTGTTTCGCTTACCTTGGGACGCAGCTCCTCCACAGTGAGCGGTGTGTTGGTTACCTCGATGCTCCAGCGGTCCAGGCTAACGGTCGAGGCGCGCTTTATCTTGTCCATTAGTTTGGGTATGTTCTCACCCTCATAGCCGCCGCCCCAGCGCAGGCAGCGTGCCAAATCATTTCCCGTTCCAAGCGGAATCACCCCAATGGCAGGCTGTGTGGCCAGCTCAATGGAATCTGTGTGGTTGACATCGTTATCATTTACTGCTATTAGCGAGCTTTTACGGCTGCTGCTGCTGCTGCTGCTGCTTACCCATTGCCTCGAGGACCCAACCAACGGTGCCGTCGCCGCCACAGCAAATGACTTTAAAATTGGGCAGGTCCTTAAAGAGCGTAAGTCCTGTCAAGGAATGTACAGTTAAGACGTTACTTGATTACGCTATGCTACAGTGGAGCTCAAACAGACGCTCAAGGCGGGTTCTGTAACCGCCTTTCACTTTTCAGTTTAGTATTGCGAATCTGTGACGTACCTTCCTTGGGCCCACCTTTGGACAGATCGTACACCTGCCTGGGATTGAGCATGTACTGAAATTTGCGTAGAATGCGATCGCCCTGACGTCCTCCACTCTTGGGATTCACAAACACCAGCAGAGGGCAGCTCAACTCATCCGGCGGCGTAATTTGAAAGTGCGTTGCCTGCTGATGATGATGCATATTTGATTTCTACTCAAGATTTTACGGGTTTTGGAGTTACGATTGGGTTTAATTTTGCAGGAATTGTGATGTATATACATACGATACAAATATATACGCATATATGTGTATATAGTTAGGTGTGACAGCAATGTAATTTACAAAGTACAGTAAGCAAGAAGAGTATGAATGGAATGTGGATTAGTTAGAATTTTGCCAATTGGGAATTAGTTGGAGCATTGTTCTTAATTCGATTACAAATGGAGTCAACTCACTTTGTGCGCCTGATTAACGGAGCGCTGACGATCCAGCACTGCGGGACATATGGCTGTGGGCGGCACAATTAGCTCCGCATATTCGCCCAAAGTGCATTCCTTTTTCACAGACGAGGCGCAGCGATTATGCAACTAGAAAGAGAGAGAGAGAGAGAGCGAGAGGAGCGAGTGAGATGGCGGTAAAGTTTAATGAATTCTGCTAGCCAATTAGCCAGCAAGATGCAAAGTAGACCCAACAAAAATCTGAATCATAAAAAGTGAATTTTTAGCGCTCCCCTTAAATTCAATTAATGGCTCACTTCTGGCCTAGCCGACTGGGCGTATACGTATTTATTTGACGAGCTCTTCGCACGCTTGCTTAAGCGCTCATTTCGCTTTAATGAATTCGATTAAAAACTTTGTTAGCAGCGAACGCCGCCCACTTCTGAAAATGCTGTTAATTTACGCCTAAATGGAATTTAATCACGCCGCCATTTTGCCATACATATATATGTATCCATGTGAATATATATATGTATGCATGAATATCAGAGCAGCTACTTATTTTCTTCAGTGTATTGCAACTATCAAGCACCTTCAATGCTTGACTAAATGCAAATGTAATGGCAGTCAAAGTGCTCTACAGAATCGAGAGCCTTAGAGTTACCCTAGAGCATGGTCAATCGACTCATTCTATAAACATACATACATATCTATATATGCATATGCAGGGTGTATTCGATATCTATGTGTGTGTAGCTTACGTCAATCTTTATACCAAACTTGAAAAAGATTACAATAGTAATCCGTTCTTCACTCTATCACAGCTTATCCTTTATACTTGCTGTATGGAGACTGACTAACTAGCAAACCGAATGGAGTCTGTTGGGGATTCCAATATTTTGTTACTTTAATGCTCTTATAATATTCTTCTTTAAGCTTTACGTTGACTCGACTGCTGATACTAATTATGAATCTACTTTGCCTCCTCCCCCACGGCCACATCTGCCTGTTGCACACGTCTCAAGAGAAATCAGTTCGCCCAGTTTATGCATTTTCAATGCATTCCAGGGTATAAGTAGAAGAGGTACGCTTATATTCTTATCGCACAGAGGGTTATGGCAGCATCAACGTCGAACTTCTTGTGGCTTGTGTTGTGGCTGTGCTTATCGGGCTTGCCTCGAGACCTCAACTATTGACTATTGCAGCAGCGTTTCAGCTTGTGAAACATTTACAGAAACTTTCGTTGCTTTGGCAGAGTTTGTGTTGTTGTATTTGTTGTTGTCTGTTCTAGTTGCTGACTACAGATAGCGAACTCGGCATTATCTTGCGACAAGCTGCATGGTCTGTCACAGGCAACGCGCCAGACAAAGTTGTTGCAAGCGGTTGGCTGTGCCACAGGCATGCTGTGGCATGCAGCAGCAGCATAATTTCTTTGAGACGTGACAATTTGCCAACCCTAAAAAAAGAAGCAACCAGAAGCAGCCAGCCAAGTGCAAGACACAAGTGTGCGTCGTCTGTCTCCTCTGTCTCGGTGTGTAGTTAAAATCAGTGGAGCTTAACATGTTTTTTGCAGGAATCAAAACAAATAGAGGAGCCAACGGCCAAAGCAACTGAGCAGACGTCGCTCTGTGTTGATCAAAATAATTGAAATTCTACATATTGAACGAATTCCACCAGCTTGTGCACAATTGGAATTTCTTCTCACTGCTTCTCACTTTATCATTTTATCACTTTCCCAGCTTCTCAGTTGGCAACTGTCTTGTTAAGTTAAATAAATGCTTTGAAGTATAAGGGGAAAATGCCTCCAGCATTTATCGCCCCCAACCTCCAGTCCCCAACTCCCTACACATTCGCCTCCCCATTGACAATGCCAAGAATTTAATTTTTTTTTTCGCAATTTACAAACTGTATTGAATGGTAAATTTAACTACAATTCGCTTTAACTATAACGAGGGTAGTCTCAAAAGTTAACGAGCACAAAGTGAAAATAGCAGAAAATTGAATTAATTCAATAATAATAATATGGAATAATAAAAAATTTATTTATTTAATTATTTTCTTAATTATTTAAACAGATTTGCTATTACAAACACAGCCTGCTGCAATACCTTAACCCTATTTGAGGGTCCCATTTGGGATTCTCGGTCAGAATCATACACTCACCATCATGTGGCACCAGCGACAGGTGAGTCCCGTTATGCCGTGATAGGCCTTAATCCGTTTGCGGCACTTGGAGCAGCGACCATAGCAATTGCCCTCGACCCAATGATGCAACAGATCTCCGCCACACTTGGGCTTCTTTGACTTCACATAGGTTGTGATGCATGAGGCAGGGGCATGTTGCACGCAACGTTCATGCACCGTATATTTGCAGACTAAACAGGAGAAATGGTAGATATTAGATATATAAATTTATATTAGCTGAGATTAATTAGAGAATTAAGAATTTAGTGGAAGCTTAGTTTAATTATTCTTTGAAAATTTAAGTTAATATATTACAATCAGAAGAAATATAGCTAGAATCGTATATAAATTAAATATTTAGCATAAAGCCAGATTATATAACATTTATATAAGATATATGCATGTATATTATTTGGCTATATCTATAAATACTTTAAAATCATCATCATCTATTAATACGGTAAATCTATTATAAAAGCAATTTGCGCCAGCTCAACGAGACATTAGCCATTTGGGTATAGATAGTTGATATATATATATTATAAATAGTGCATCTATATAGTATATATAGTGCATATATATAGTATATTTAATTCTATATATAGTGTATGTAATAGGTATCTCTTTGATACTTACGAACACAGCAGAGTCCCTTTTTGCCAAGGCCGACCAACATATTTAGGCAGAGATTGCAATATGCTGGCTTGCTAAAGTGCTTCAGGCGCCACACATGAATGCCATCCTCTTTGAGTGTAGTGCTGTCGACACCTGGAAAGCGGAGATGGGAGGTGGGTGAGTTACGGCTGGTGTGTTAAGTGAGTAGCTTGATATATGGATGCATTGCAGATGCAGGCGGCAGGCGGCAGGCGGCAGGCGGCAGGCGGGCGGCAGGGGCCTCGCACAGTTTTGCATACGTGCAGCAGAAGGCAAAAAATGCCACGTTTACTATTTTCACATTTTTGCTCTACTCTTTTTGCAGAACTTCTGTGTACCTGCTGCAAATGACTTGATTATTGAGACAGCCAGGGCAGACAGCCTAGCTGGCAGTGAGGCAGTGAGGCAGCGAGGCGATAAATGCATTGAAAGCTTCACAGCTACTTGGCTCCGATGCTCACACACACACACACACACAGACATGCTCACGCACACACACTCAACTCATACTCACCTAGAAGGACGAGCAGCGGTATGGTTGTCATGCCGCCACGTTGCCATTCTTCCAAGGACACTGTGCCATCGGCATCATAGTCAATTTCAACCATCATATCTTGCAGTATCTGTAAAAGTAACAAAAAAAGAATCGTGTAAAAATGGGCTCGAGGTGGAATTTTCGTTGCTGTATGACATCCTGATTGACATTCTGCGGTAGAGTAAGTCAGATAAAGGCAATTTTACTTTGTGACTTTCGGCTTTTACCTTTGACTGCAACGGAGTTGGGGAGCGCGTAATTCGAGCAAAATTTATACAGGTAACCTTATTACGATTGTCTGCCACACAGATAAAGCGATAAAACGAATTTTACTCTACTTCTATATTGATTTCTTTCAGGAAATATAATAAAGACTTGACGAAATATAATAAATACTGGCGACGTTTCTGCAATATAGTCGACTCGATAAGCAAAGCCTGACAAGCATAATTTTGCTCTTTCTTACTACTTGAGCACCTAAAAAGAGGATTATCAAATAACTGCTTTTTGCATAAGGATACTCAACAGAGACATAAAGGACAATAGCATCTCGCCTGTTAATAAGAGGAAGAGCCAATCGTATTGCCTTTGCTTATAGCTACATAATGGCCATCTAAACTGAGCAATTGGTCAATGAAATAACTTTGAGTAACATAACAGCAAGCCTCGGTCTGCTAAAGAATACATATCACTTGTCGTAGCATGCAGTTTTTTAGTGCTAACCCGGATGCCTTTTTGTTTATGTAAAATGTAATTTTTTATCAATATTTATTTATAAGCTCCAATAAAATTTAAATAAAAAATAAACCAACGTTTAACAAATTTTCGATTTATTTATGAAAACTAAAAATATTACATAGTTTTGCAGCAATATTTGGCGGGGAAATTTTTCAGTTTTACAATTTTGTTGCATACTTTTAGGATTATATGTAGCAATCAGTAAGGAATGTCTTAGGCTGCATCAGAGCATTGCAAACTTTGTAAATGATATATAAGAAGAAGAGCATTAAGGATACTTAAGGAGCATTTCAAAATATGAATTTAGAAAAGTTATTCCTAGCGATAATATTCATATATGGTTACCTAAAAACGCCTCTAACTTGTCCGTGTCCTTACGCAGGACGAAAGGATATGGTGCGTTAGGCTATGCAAGAGCAACTCTACAAATTCCCATTAAAAAAATATAGGGTCATCTAAGAATCTTGGACTTGGAGTTTTTTGCTTCAGGCCGGGCCTGGGCGGCTAAGGATTTGGCCAAAAACACACAAAATCGCCAATATCTCCGAAACTACCGGGCAAATTTCCATGTCCTTTGGCCAGGGAGTAGTCCTGGTGACCCCACTTCGTTTGGCACTTCGATTGCCAGGATACGCAAGGATACGGTTGAGTAATTGGCTTTTTTCTTCTGTATAAAAAAGTCCTTATAACTCAGCTGTTTGCAGGACTTTAACCCTTCTTTTTGCTTCTTCCTGATTGGTGCCACGAGGACTTCATTTGGTCTAAAGGACATTCCGATAGTCCTTCCAATGGCCGAGATAAAGTGGATTTTCTGATTTTTTGCCAATTTTTCGACCATATCCCTTGCAATTTTTGATGGAAAATTTTTTGTGGAATCCTGGAAATCCTTGAATGCAAATCGATAGTATAAGTGCTCACGAGCTCAAAAAGGTATGTCATGCGGGGATCCTTAAGGATATGTCGGAGTTATGGCTGTGTAAAGAAAGTCCTTGTTTTGAAATTTAGTTCTATCTCGGCCAAATTTGAACGGATTTTCGCAGGAAATGGCGCGTTTAGATTCTATGCACTAAGCGGATCGATCCCTATTAAAATAATTTGAGCTTATCTAAGAAACTACGGGTAAAAATTTCAGGAATTATTGCTATAAGTTGATCATATCCTTGCAGATCCTGGCGAGGTATGTGGTAAAAAAAAAATATTGTTGACCTCTATAAATTGGGCAAAAAGTACTGCAATCTTCCTTGTAGTTTGTGAGTGTTTCAGAATTTACATTTGTTTATAAACTTCCTTGGCAAAAATCAAAGAATGTGGTAAGTAAACCACTAAGTCAATTTATGTGTCTATGAACATTCCACTGCCCTGTCCTGGCTGTGTGGTGGTGTAGTTTCTTTTCTATCAAGGATCTACTATAACTAGCTTTAGGGCAGTTCAAATCGGATTTGCTGGACGAGTCACTTATCATGCGGCATTCTGAGTGTATTTCCTGTATGTCTTCATTTCGTATTGGCATTTTCTTTAAAATCCTATAGTTGGATTTGTTGTGGCTTCAGTTCAAAGCGGACATTTCCAGGAATCACCAGCAGAAATATTCAATATCCGGTGCCATTTGTAATGCGATGTCCTGTTTGCCTTTTGCCTTTTGAGCTTGCCTTTTGCTGTTTGCCTTTGCTATACTACGAAAGTAGGAAACTTTGATGGACTAGAACCGCAACTGGTTTATGCTTGGAAAATTCATTACACTAGAATTTATGCGGCATCCTTTTTTAGCTTCTCTCTTTTCTCATGGTTTTATTATGCCGGAAATGAATTTCAGAATTATGCAATTCATTAAGTGTTTTGATTATTTCTGTTTCAACTATGCCCCAGTTGATGTGGTAAGCAAAACTCTTTCGTGCCCATTTAAAGTGACCAAAAAGGGTGTATTGTTGATGTGATAGAAGATACTACAGAGTTCATCTTGCCATGTTTACCTTTATTTTATTAGTTACTATATATATGTATGAAATTATGCATACAGTTTCTTACAATGAATACATTTATTTATAATTTTAGATACCCTCAGTCCCTCGCTTTTCAGGTCAGATACAAACAGATTTTAATGTACGACTATGGCAACAGGTTTCAGGGTAACTCCGAGTCGTTCACTCAAAATTAAGTTAATCTCACTTGTTTTTTGTTTTCTCCTTTTCCAACCCGGAAAGAATTTTGATTAAAATATTTTTTGTGTATCTGCTTAGAATTTAAAGTATGTGGCGCCTTCTGACTGACTCTGTGTTCTGCGTTCAGTGTCATAAAGCCATCCTGAACATGGAAACGGAAAGTGCGCAAAAGCTCAACCCAAAACCCACTCGGCAGCCCGGCGTTGTCCTGCCTTGGCTTTAACACAGTTAGATTCGTTCTGCTGCCCCCGCTCATTCGGGCGTTTCTCGACCAGCTCACCAGCTCACCAGCTTTGCGCTCTCGTTTCAGCATAACCCGAGGGTATTTTGTTAATTGAGTTTTGTGACGCTTTGACTTTATTTGTGGTCGCCAGCAACAACATTTCTTCCTTGTCCCCATTTCGCTTTTTTCTGTTCTGCCCAGTTCATCGACAATTTGTTTGATTACTTAAAGCTATTCCTGTGTCCCAGCTAAACTTGATTAAAGAAGGACCTTTAGATATTTTATAGTCGAGTGCTCTTGATTGTTCTTATTAGTGTTGTAGATCAGCTTTAGCAACTTTCCGAAAGTTTACCTCTGAACAAGTCAAGAGCAAACTCCACCATGAAAACAAGTGAAGGTATTTAATAGTCGACTATCTGTTGTTGTTCTTGTATCCTTCTTGGTTTCGCTAAGCTTGAGTGATTATTTTGCCATTCAATGTGTATTTTTCTCCCGAAGCCTGATATAAGGAGATTAGATATAAAGGGACAAAACTTCATTAAAATGATTGGTCTAGGTATTCATTAGTCGAACATACTTTCTTCTAAAACAAAATCACCAATTGGATAAGAAGTTAGGAAGCATCTAAAGTCTATTCTGGGATCTAGTCCAAGTATCTAATAGTTGACTACTTCTAGATTCTCCCCTGCTTCTGCATTTACTTTGATCTTTATAATTGTCTATCCCAAGCTAAACTCGATTGGAGAAACTGGTGCAGGTACATAAAAGTCGACTATCAATTGTGTATTTTTTTTTTGCTTGGGCTTGTGTAAAACTATAAAAGTTCACAGCTTCAGCTTGAATCGTAGGGCAATAAAAATGGAATTAATTTTAAGTGCTTGCAAGTAATTGAAAAAGTTTTAGTCCGCGGTTCGAGTCCCAGCAGCAGTGATTGCTTGATTGTTCTGGACTGTGGATGCTTACGCATTTATGTGCGTAATGAGCAAAAATTGTCTCTGGCTCTGATTGCAGTGTAATGACTTTCAATTGTAAGAGAGTGAGTGAGGTGGAGAGAGAGAGAGAGAGAGAGAGAGAGGGAGGCATTGTATCACACTTACCGGACGCAACTCGCTGACATCCCAGCCAAGATATTCGGCCACGGCCATCATCTGATTAACAATGGCATCCATTTCGGCTGTGTCCAGGACTCCATTGCTGTCCGTATCGTACAGCCGGAACATGACTGCCATAATGAATGATTGCGAGAGAGAGTGAGTGAGATAGGTGAAAGGGTCAAGTGTTGCGGCATGCCTCATAGCTTTCTCAGCACTTACATTCGAGTTTGTCCTCTGGGCGGCCAGCCTCGAGCAGTGATAAATAGCAGACGACATCCTTCAGCGGAACCTTCAGTGTCAAGGGATCGAAGTGCGAGTATTTGCGTGCCAGCAGCTTAATGTCAGCTGCAAATAATAATTAAGAGCATAACAATCAAATTAACAACTCAATCTGTACATCATTAACAGAACAAATAATTCATATTGACATAACATTCCAGCTTTTATATGTATGGAATTCAGATAGAACAAAAAGGGAATGCAGAATCTTTAGCGGTTAGAGTGCCAAACATTTAATTTAATACATAATTATCATCAAATTGAAACAAACATTTTGTTTTAATTCCTAAATGAATATATTTTATATTAACAAATATAAACGATCGATTTTCAATATTAATTTAATAAATAAATTAAAGGACAGTATATTTATTAAAAATAATTACTTAATATAAACAGTAAAAGATTCATTATAAAATGTTTAAAATTTATATAAATATTTATAAATAAAATTTATTTGTATATAAATTCATATTCACGTCTGTATAGAATTAAAACTGTCAAATAAACTCAAAACTTAATTTATAATTTTAATTAAATTACTGAAACTATTATGAGCTCCAAGTTCATGTAGTGTATTAAGCAATTCTCAGAGGAAGGAAATTACAGAAAATCTTTGCTGCTGCTGCTGCAATTGCATTTGTCATTGACAGAGTGGCAGTCGCTTGGCTATTGCTGTTGTTGTTGTTGTTGCTGGGCATTATTGCAGGATAAACAGGATATCGTTGCAGTTGCCATTGACAGCTGGGCAGAGTTGAAAGTTTGCCTTTCACTTTGACACTCATTATGTTTAATGTTGATTGCCGCAATTTGAGCCAAGAGCTGCTCAACTTTGACATTTTTGCTTTTAATCAAGTCGAGAGATGGCGAGAGATAGGGCGACAAGAGAGACAGGGAGAC